TGTGTTGGTCATCGCACCTTGGGTCCTTTCCGCGATAAACAATAGCATTCCCAAGGAGGGTTGACGTCAGGCAGGCGGCCGCGCCGGTCGTAAAACTTTTGCCAAATCCTATCAGCAGTACAGAAGATGTACTGCGCCGACCCCAAGTGATTGGGAAATAGGCAGGGAGATGATGATCATAAATAAAAATGAATGTTATACGAAAATTCATTTTTTGTTGGTCCTGTACGCGTTCGTGGACCATTGATCCGATTGTAATGAATGAGGTGAGTTATACGTCTGCTAAATTTCCTGGCCTAAAAAAATGCGTGTGTATGCAATTCACACATGGTAAATGTAAGTAAAAATATATGTAAATAAAAATGAATGTTGCTAAGCGCAAAACTCGAGAAAGGCTCGACCAATTCAGCTAATATTTTTTTCGTATGTTCCTTAAAGTACCTACGCGGAAAGTTTTAATAACGAGAAAAAATATAAAATAAGGTAAATATAAGTATACATATATAAAACAAAGTCGTGTTAGTTACACCATTTATAACTCAAGAACGGCTGGCCAATTTTTATGATATTTGATTTTTTGGATTTCTCTTAGTCCGGAATAGGGTAATAAGTATTAAAACATCAAAATTAACGAAAAAAAAATGGCTAACGCTGACTAATAATGATTTATATTTATTTAAAACGTAGCTAGTAGGTAGGTTTATCAGACAATAACAACGGTTACCATGGCAACATGTCAATGTATTCCTGTGCATTGTTTGGCTTAATCCTATATATTTGTGTGTCTCTTTTTAGTATCACATTTCCGTTTCATCGAGTTTCAAATCACAACGATTCTAAAGAAGTTTGAACTCCAATAAGAATTTTTCTTTGAACGTTTGTCTTTTATGCGTTCCTAAACCATTCTAACTTAGGGACGTGACCGAAGTAAAGGAGGAGTAAGCCTTTAGTAATCAATAAAATTCGTGCAAAATAAACATAAAATCGTAAATATTATGTATGCGGTTAAATTTGTAAAAAATGTTTATACCATTTTTATGTACATTTTATCGACAATAATATATGATATTAAAATAAAAATGATGTACCAGTACTTATATTATAATTATAAACTGCAATACTATTAAATATATAAACAATACTACTAAATAAATAAACGGCAACTGAACTAAGTCGCCGTTAATACAAAAACAATATTTGAAATTAGACGTTAGCTCTATGAAATTGATACTCAAGCGATACTTATATAGTTTACTGATAATGCATATACTGTAGTTTTACACATTTAATTTTCATAATATTAAATCGAATAATTTTAACATTGTACTTGTAAGTCTTTAAACTATACTAATATTATAAACGGGAAAGATTTGTATTTTTGTTTGTTTATACCGAATAGGCTCGGAAACTACTAAACCGATTAATATGAAATCTGGTAAGAAGATAGTTTGAGAATTTAGGTCCTTCCCAAGGTCCTATGGTAATTTTTATTCCGGAAATCATACCTTAAGAGGGTGAAAATGGAGATAAAAGTTTGTATGGGGAAGCAACATAGGGACGAACCCTTGCGAAGCGAGAATGAGTCGCTAATGAAAAGTATAATTAACTGCTTATTCTATTAATTTATGTGCTGTTTAGCATATGAACACAAAACGGTGTTTTATATTATCATCTTTAGATTTACCTTCAAAAAAAAAGGTGGAACGGTTGAAATTTTGTTGATTACAATATCTAGTTAGTTTTTATATTTATTAGTATAAGGTATATGTAATAAAGTTAAAGGTGGTATAATATGTTATCTTACTACTAATATAATGCAAAAATTTGGATGGGTGGATGTTTATTACTTAATAACGCCAGAACGGATCTGGATGAAATGATTTGATGGCACAGAGATAGATTATAGTCCGGAATAGCACATGGGTTAATTTTTATTCCGGAAAAATGTACGGTTCCCGTGGGATAGATTTGTTTTTGTTTTTCCCAGAGCAAGGTATCGACTAACTATTACATACTAAGCTTTAAAACGTACCTCTTACCCTCGCTTCGCTCGGGTTCGTCCCTAGTGATTAATATAATAATATAAGGTTTCATTACTTCTATACATATAATTAAATTGTAACTAAGTCGAATCTGTACATTAAATATTTTTTGGAAAATCTAATTCAAATAGACATTATTATCGATACAGAGTCCGAATCTATAGTTTTTAGAATTTTTGTCTATCTGTCTGTCTGTCTGTTACCGCATCACGAGAAAACCACTGGACAGATTTTGATGAAATTTGGTATGACGATAGCTGGTTATTCGGGTCAACATATAGGATACTTTTTACCGTGGGAAAATATCTCATTTTTGAGAAAAAATACAAAAACTCCATTTTAAGAGTATACTAATATGTAAAACCTAAGAATTTGGTTTTTGGTCATCTGAACGCGGGCGGAGCTGCGGGCAATGCTAGTTAATTTATAATACTGATAATATATAAAGCTTTTTTTTTACGTTTTGTTATGGTGCTTGCGTGTTACTTAAGAACTAGATTTGTTTTAATTTCGTATAAACCCAGTTATTTTTAGATTTTTTACAATTATAACATGAAATACTTAATTTTTATTTAGTCATATTAAAAAAGTAAGAACAACGCTTTATGAATGATATGAATGGGTATTACTTGAATTCAATGCAAAGTCAAACATTTTTATTGAAAATACAAAGGAATGCCTATCTAAATATAACTTAACATTTTGTATGGAAAAGCTAGCCTATTGTGTGCTAGCTTAGTTTACTTAAATAGTTACACTGTGGAGTGAAGACGTGTGACGTGTGAAGGTAACTACGTTATAAATAGATACCTCTCAACGTTGCAGACTGAGTAGGGTTGCCAGGCTCATTGCGGAGTATTTCGGAACAGACGCAAATATTACAAGCACTATCTATGCACCTGTCATATTTCACATGGACTTGTAAAGAAATAGTTTTGACTACATATATTATATTCTTATATATGTTTATATGCATGAGACGAAATTGTTAAATATATATTGAATTTTTATTATTAACCTTTTTATATTATTACTAAATAGACCTAAAATAACGGATGGAGAGCACCTCGGTGCTTATATACATATAATTACAAACATTACAATGTAATTAATTTATAATTATTTTGATATAGCTTCATGAGATTATTATTACCGTGGTAGACAGACAAATATCATGGAGACCTTCATTACGTTTTACTTTTAACAGAAAGATTATATAGATTTAAACTGAATATGAAAATAATTTTAAGAAACAACCCCGAAAGAAATCTGGTGTAGACATCTAAAAAATTATACGTATCACGTATAAATGGGAAACCTAGCTCTACTTACGTGAGTGTAGGTAGGTACCTACTGCGCCCGCTGCATCGTTTCTGATACCGCGGGGGAATGCAAATTGAATTCAATTGTTAAGTTGACAATGTAAGCTAAGAATATTTTACTGCTGCAAGTCAATTCAATGGTGTGTATTTTTATGACACTACTAGCATTTGCCCACGACTTCGCTCACGTAGTCCTTTTATGCACGTATATATAATGCTAAGAGTTGACGCTGATGTAATATACCCTTTCTTTTAACGTTGGGAAATGCACTTCGGCATACCGCCTGCGTAAATACATACATACATATATATATATATATATATATATATATATATATATATATATATATATATATATATATAACCTACAGGTGGTTACGTGGGACTCTTTTTGGCTTGAAAATACAGTATTACCCGCTAAAACCCAACGAAACCTCCTCCATCATAATGGTGTCGCAGGATCGCTTACGTACTCAACCACGCCGGCTGATCTGCCAGAGTAGACCACAATATATTAGGAAATTTCATACTATATATAGTTCAAACAAACTAAAATTATTTAATTATGTTTTCAGTAACTAGGTACGATTCAATTGAGTGAAAATATAATATGTGGCATTTTTTAGGTTTGTACATTGTTTATTGTTATTTAATTATTTTAAGGGCATCAAAATTTTAGTTTTAATATCGTTTCGTTCATGTATTACTTACGAGTAAAATAGTGATAAAATATTATAATATTTACCGCCCTATCTTTTTCATAAAATGCTAGCAAAAAGACAAACTGATACCGAGAACATTTTATTCTTTACTACTGACAATTTTCAACACAATAGGTAATAATTAAATAAAATTAGTAGAGATTTTAAACAGTAAATGTTTTATTGTAAGCTCAACCTGTGTTTTATGTGTTATATGTGCTAATATTAGTAGTCTAATTCCGACTAATTGTCCTATCTATGTAATAAAAACGCAAATTAGGGTTTTGTTTGGAGAAATTTTCAATGTACATTTTAAGCTTCATTTTATCTGCTTTGGAGGCAATATTTACCTACCTACATTAAATACATTATATTTGGCATTATATGTACCTATAATTGTAATTCTTTTTTTTATAACAAATAATAAAAATTAGGACAAAATCTTATAAAGATAAATATGTAGATGACAGACGTAGAAAGTGAAAATGGGTTAGAACGAAAGTTATAACTTTACACTGTAAGTACGTTACGAGTCACTCCACACACACAACAGATGCAAAGCATGCATAAAATAACATAATTCTAATAATCCCTCCACGACCGCGGACACGCCGGCGTGTCAATTAACAATAGATTACTTAGAATTTTAATTAATTTCTTAGAAATTTACCTGGAGGTGTTAATGTAAAATGAAAACCAATATGATACACCGCGCACATAGAATTATGCGATACATGCGATTATTTTTAAAAGAAAAGCTACCATACAATGTTATTGAATCAAAAACTATTTGAAAACTACTAATAACATAAAATAAAAAATCACATCGATAATTCAATTAGCAATAAGGCCATAGCTGTTGTACAACAAATATTGCAAAACTAAAGCATGCATTACGAAGTAATAGGCAAGCGTGTAAACACAAAGGGACGTACATTTGACGTGACAATGATCGCCGCAGGTCCAAGGCCCATTATCAAGTACAGTAAAAGTTCCAGCATCTTGTACCGCTCGTGGAATATCTGCTGGTATGTGATGCCAAGTATCGCGAGCAGCCAGATCGCCCATCGAAGCTCACGCAGCATCCAGCACGACAGGGTGCCCACAGTCAACCATGGGAAGTAGGAACTCGCGATGAATATATAGATCATGGCGCGATCGCATCGATGGAGGAAGTGTTTCATTTTACTGCAAAATTAGTTAATTTTAACATGACGCGTATGTAGATGTGTGGTGCTAGTGTTATGTCTGATATATGAAGCAGAGGTGCGGTGAAGTCTATTGACCAAAATATTTGAAAATGTTAGCACAGAAGTGCCACAAAAAACTTAAGATAACTTTAAAAACAATTCGTAAAGTATGGTAAAAGTATTTTTATTACATGAACAAATTAAAACCAAATTGTTGTCTTTTCAAAGTCGCCGTTAGCGACCTAAATTGTCGGAAGTGTAATGATTAATATTATGATTAAAATTGATATAAATAACTTGTTGCAAATATGTAAGTACTTAAAAAGGAGCACCTGACACTGTACTTATTATTTTTATGGCGATATTTAAAACTGGATCTCTGTAGTCATGTACCGTCATAAATCTTTGCTTTTAGTGTTATGTAGTAGAGCCGAATCGAATATCGGTGAATTAGTTTTATATGATGCCAATATCTATACATATAATAAAATTCATATATGTACATTAAATATTTTTTGGAAAATCTTATTGAAATAGACATTATTATCGATGCAGAGGCTTAATCTATAGTTTTTAGTTTTTGTCTGTCTGTCTGTTACCGCATCACAGAAAAACTACTGGACAGATTTTAATGAAAAATATCTCGTTTCTGAGAAAAAATAACAAAAACTGTAATTAAGAGTATACTAATATCATGAACGAATTATCGTTCATGACTAATATGTAAAACCTAAGAATTTGGTTTTTGGTCATCTGAACGCGGGCGGAGCCGCGGGCAATGCTAGTAATTGTATATAATACAAGCTTTGACCAAATAATTTATTTGAAATAAATAAATTTTATTTGGTCGAAATAAGAACATGAGCCTGACTTTGATTACATTTAACGTGATTTCATTACCGCAATGATCGGATAAGTTTCATTCAAAACAATACTACGTTACATATTTGAAAAAAAATCTTCATCTTAATTAATATTTAACTACGCTGTTATAACTTAATATTGCAGTCGACTTTAAGCGTTGTACAATTGACGGCATCAAGATAAAGTGGGCAAGTGTGTGCAAACATTTGTTGTTAAACACTTTAATGGAGACTAGACACGTGACTCCAATAAATTATAATACCTATAGCAAAATCTTCCTACATCACAATTTCATAATTGGACCCAGTTATGCAAAAAACAGCCATGTGCGTAAAAGTACCAACGGACTTATAAGCATTTTATTATAAAAAATAAAATAATTATAAAAAACTAGCGGCTCACCCTCGCTTCGCTCGGGTTCACCTCTAGAGATGCACAAACAGATCTATCCCACGGGAACCGTTCATTTTTCCGAAATGATGAATTTTCCGGATGAAAGTAACCTGTTGTTTGACCGGCAATATAAGGTATCAGCATGCCAAATTTTACTAAATGAGGAGGATAAGTTGTTGTGTACTAAGCTGTATAAGTTACTATAGTTTTTTACTAACTATTGTTTGGGGGTCTATGTTGTGAACATAATACGGTACAAATAAACAAAAACATCTATCCCACGGGAACAGTACATTTTTCCGTGTAAAAAGTAACCTATTTGTTATTCTGATGTATGAATTATATATATTATTGTAAAGTTTCATCAAAATCCAATCAGTAGTTTTTGTGTACTAAGCTGTATAAGTTACTATAGTTTTTTGACTATCCCACGGAAACTCTTTTATTTTCCGGGATGAAAAGTAGTTGATTTGTTTTTGTTATGTATGAACTATATTATTGTAAAGTTTCATTAAGATCCAATCAGTAGTTTTTGTGTACTAAGCTGTATAAGTTGTTATAGTTTTTTAACTATCCCACGGGAACTCTTTAATTTTCCGTGATAAAAAGTATCTAAGATGTTGCCCAGGAATATAAGGTACCACCATGCAAAATTTCATTTAAATCGGTCCAATAGATTCAGATATTAGCCCGTACAAACAGGAAAACAGACAAACAGCTCGCTCGGGTTCGTCCATACCTACGAATATGTTGTATTATCTCTTTAACCATTTGTCCAAATTATATGCAGTAAACGGGAAAAGTCTTTTGTTTTAAACATTTTAGACGATAAATTTATTTATTTTGATAAGAATTCATAGTTATTCATAATATGGCCAATAAACATGACCTACCGATTTAAATTATTTTTTTAATATAAAAAACTACTTTTTGTGACTTAAATATAAAAGTTAGACATATGCTGTCGCTGACTTTTTTGTAGGCATTATTAAGCTCTACAACTTTTCTCTAGAACATAATCATATATCTCTCATCGTTAAGGCAGCGTTCGTAAGAAACTTTTTCGTTCGACTGTTTTTTCTCCGACTTACTTTGCAAATCCGACTACCACGAAAAATCCTTTTCATTTTTCGGGTTAATATATAGCCTATAACACTCAGAAAGAACGTGGCTTTCTATTGGTAAAAGAATTTTAAAAATCGGTTCAGTAGATCCAGAGATTACCCCCTACAACGTCACAAACTCACAAACTCACAAGATCACAAACTTTACCTCTTTATAATATTAGTATAGATAAATAATACTTATATAAATATTGTTCAATTTTAAAATAACCAGAAAAACAAAACATAACCCAAGTGCAACTATCGACAGAAAAATGTTTATAACTCTGTTGTTCTTTTACGCACATGGCTGTTTTTTGCATAACTGGGTCCCATTATATTTCATTGATAAACAATATATTTTGTATGTATATAATAAATGGATAACGTTTGTTTTTTTGTAAGTAGGGGAAAATATCTGGGACTACATAAACCTATTAAAGAAAGCTGCCCCCATATTATCCCTGAGTAACGTTTACGGCCTATGCACATTGCACACCATGTTTCATAAACGCGCCAAAGACGCTTGTATCGTGAAATATATTCTGCGCTGATAAATTTCTTTAATCATCAAAAGTGTATCAACGCAGATTTGAGATTTATCGCGTTTATACTGATACAAAAGCATGGGAAGAACATGTCAAAATCGCGTTAAAAATTAATCGTGTGCATAGGCCCTCATTTATCGTGCGTACCGAGCGGGTAAAAAAATGATGACGTAGGTACCAAGCGAGCGCAGCCACCGGAAGAAAATTAATTACATTAATTACATTTATTTACATAATTAATAAAACAAAAAAATTACTGTAGTTACAGCTGCCATTGTCCTCTACTGGGAGGTCATTGATTTTATTTGGCTCCCAGCGAGGGTATTGACAATAGTTAAAAATAAAACAATAAACGCGGCGTTGGATATCACTAAAGAGCATGCATGTTTAAATACCAAGAATAAAAGAACAATTAAAGAAACAGTCTTTATTCGTTTTAAAAAAATCTTAAAATTTTTAGGACTGAAAATCATACGCCGACATGTAATCGACTTTTATATGCGGTATTTATAAGAAAAACATCATTTTAAACATTTTTGTCTGTCTGTCTGTTTGTTGCGGCTAATCTCCAAAACAGCTCGGCTGATTTTGACGAGACTTTCATTAGCAAGTAGTTGATGTTATAAGGAGTAACTTAGGCTACTTTTATTCGAGTAAAAGAATTAAGGTTCCGCTCAAAAAAAAAGAAGTACAGTAGGGACGAACCCGAGCGAAGCGAGGGTGAGTTGCGAGTCTATACTAATATTATAAAGGGGAAAGATTTGATCTTTTGTTTGTACGAATAGGCTCCGAAACTACTAAACCGATTTATATGAAATTTGGTAAGATGATAGTTTGAGACCCCGGGAAGAACATAGGATAGTTTTTATCCCGGAAAACATCCCTTAAGGGGTTGAAAATGGGGATGAAAATTTGTATGGGGAAGCAACCCAGGGACGAACCCGAGCGAAGCAAAAGTCACTAGTTCACTATAAGAATAATGATGAATGGAGTACTTTTGTTTGTAAGTCAGTCTATGTATAATTATTTAAGGTTAAAATTATATGGGTTCCGTTTTACCTTTGACCTGTTTTACTCGGCGCGGCGAACCTTGATCCCTATGACAGTTCGTGTTAGTGATGGGTCGTGTCTTTGGTCGTGTCGATAATTTGCTCATGTGGCGCTTGCCCATACAAATCACAAAAAAAAAATTTTCGCTTTCAGCGCTGAGTGCTTTCACTGTAAACTATATAACCCTAAAGTATTATCACTTACTTTTGTTACACCCTTGATCCTGTGTATGTAAATAAATAATTATTAAACAGATTTTGTTTCATTTCATTTTGTCCTATAGCTGTTATTTTTTAATTTTCTTGGGTATAATATATGTATGAATGGTATGATCGTAATATTCTGTTCCATTCCATAATATATGAACTAAATGTGAGTATGAAAAAAAATGTGCATTCGTTTCCATTACCGACATTTTTTTATCGATACTTGCCGCCCTAGTCGATAAACGTCACACGACGTAAGTTTTGCAGGACGTAAACATAAATTGAGATAACTTCTTGTAAATGTTAAGAATTGTTAAAAATATCAACGGAAAATATCATTACTAATGGTATAATATACGGCATGAAAAAATATAACATTTTTAGACGCCCCATATGATCCCAATTATTGCTGTCAGTGTCATAGGGATCAAGGTTCGCCGCGCCGAGTATAGTCATTATGAAATATAACAACCATTTACTTAACACGTTAATACCTTTAACCGTGAACTAGTGACCCTAACAATAAATGACGTTTCGCAAGAGGTTACAGTGTGTACTTAATTAGCCCAGGCTAACTCCGAAAAATTCTAGGCCAAAGTTTTATTTCACCAGCCTTAACTCACTACTAAACTAACTATTAAAAAAACAGGGTAAAGGTCACTGGGAGTGTAAATTCAAAATCGCGACCAAATTCACTTAGCCGCCATCTAGATTTTTAAGAGAGAATCGTTTTTCGTCAATATATCAGCCACTATCAACTTTTTGAAAAAAATCATAAGAATTAAAGTTGTTCATTATTCAATTCTGTATATTTTATTTATTACTTGTTTTTCCGTTTTATCGATACTCTCCGAGTTAAGGGTGAAAAACGGAAAATTTAATTATTGAAATATCTAATTTATTATTGACTTTAGGGCAATATGTACAGAAACAAAGTTGCGTGGAATTAAAATTCCTACAACTTTGATCTCTAGACTTTTTTATTTATTTATTTGGTAGAACCAATATTTAAGGTCCAGGCTTTGAACATCGAGATTTCTTCGCATGATGAGCAAATACCCAATGATGAGAGAACCTTTTTCAAATTTTTCTAACCGACGTTCAATACTAACCCGACTGGGTTAGATGTACGTATCGGGATGAAAGTACTACTATAAAAATGAATAAAACAGTAAGGCTAGTAAGGATATTTTACTTAGTAAGGTTTGCAAGACGATAAATAGAAATACTTTGTGTGGGTCTTATTCTTAGTCATTTATTGCCACTTTTCGTCCCCAAAGGAGCGGATCCATTGGTAATTGAATTTCCCGTTCAAATGTAACAAATAACTTCCTGCGGCCCAAATTGTTTAAGTTTCGCAATGCTCTTGGAAGTTGCGAAGCCTCGCAGTTTATGGAACATACCAAGTCCCTCGTCAAATTCTATTATATATAAAGTATTCTACTGGATTTCCCTAATACCAATTTTTGCTAAGTGCAAATGCGAACTTCGAAAGATTGTACATATATTTGAATGAAGGGGTTCGCTACATTATTTAATTTATTTGAAATATTCTATTTTCGTATTACATAAGGCACAGGATCGATTCGGTTCGGGAAACACATATTTATTTATTGAGTTTCTACCAGCGATTTTACTTAAATAATAAATATTTCTTAAAGTACGTGCGCAGGGTATGTTTTATCATTCATTCATTATAAGGTAACCATTACATACTAATTTCACTTAGTATTACTTAATAAATCTAATTAAAAACAGAAACAAACAAAAAAAAGAAGATAAAAGTAACTTGGTAAAAGCCTGATATATACTAAGACAGTGAGAACACTTGATTCTAACAAATAAAAACTACACAAATAAAATGTTTGACTATGATTTTAAAAGCACTATGCTGATTATATGAGTTCATATTTATATATGCACGATTTTACATGAGGTTATTTTTTGTTTGTATGTTTTTCTGTCATATTTAATCTTTGTACTGTAACTTCTACGTGTAAGGGTTGGAGATTTAGGCGGTAAGCGCGGCGGAGTGCCGTGATTAGGGACATAGATTATTTTTGTATTTTTTTTCTATTTAATCTTTAATACTGTATAAGTATATAGTTTATACTTTACGTTACATAATAAATTACAGAAATATGCTTTTCACACGCTTTCAGGCAAGACCTAGTGTAGAATACCTAACATTTACATAAAATTAGCTCATAAAAAAAGGCAACGAATACTGTGGTTGATATGGTTTACCATTACGTAAGACTGGGTGATACGATGATCGCTATATCAAGTCATAATGGAAAGTAAAAAAAAATATTCTGACTCGTGTTGTTTTTGTGAATGTATTAAATAAAAATTTCATTGACAATATTAAGTTTATATTATTTTACTACCACTAGATGAATTCTTTTTACATAATACTAGCGACTCAGCCTCGTTTCGCTCGGGTTCGTCCCTAGCTTGATTCCCCATACAAACTTTCATCCCCATTTTCACCCCCTTAAGTGGTGATTTCCAGGATAAAAAGTATCCTATGTCCTTCCCAGGGTCTCAAACTATCTTCGTATCAAATTTCATCTACATCGGTCCAGTAGTTACCCCCTACAACTTCACAAACTCACAAACTTTACCTCTTCATAATATTAGTATAGATGTAGTAAAGCTCAAGTTAGGCTCATTGAGACCACTTTAAATATCGTATTTATATAGATATTAAATATCCTTTAAAAGATCTTAGGCATAAACCATATTCTGTACTAATTAATCGGTTGTTCCACAACGCAAGTGCAATATACATCTGACCATGACTCCTTTTCAGTTTTATTAATCATTTAATGACGATCATAGTCATTAATCTTTCAAATGCTTCGTTATCTATACAACGTAGAAAGTTTCCATAAAAATCCCTTGGGGCACTTAGGAATATTAGCAATTATAATATAGATTTCCATTCATGATATACATATATTCTATGATCATAACTACCCAACTGTTTTAATCTTGGTTCTAAAGTTTTAATATTAATTAATAATTTCATTTCATCAGAATGAATTCTAAGAATTAGCTAAGGTTTTGACAAAATAATCTTAAATGATCTTAAATGATGATGATAATTATTTTGATATTGTTACATTTTGATTTTGTTGATATACGGATAAGTATAATAGAATACGTAACGCAGAGGTTATTTAAATTCTTTGTTGTGTATTTTATTTACATTTTCGTCATTATTTTTATCTACGTCCTTTAAGAATATATACTGATAGAAGATTTTAGAGTAAACTTACGTATCGGACTGACAACAGCACACCGAATGGAAGGTCGTGGAGACGGCAAACAGGAGACATAATGCCAATCCGTAGACTACAGCAGCTATTGCTTGTGGCGCGTTGACAGAGCGCGTGAGCAACTCGCGCGCACCAAACGAAGCTGGAGCGACGCACAATGCGTGCGTACACACGTTCGCTATATTTTCCACCTATGTAAAACAAACTCAATTAATAATACACATCTTTGGCTCAGTTTGTAGTGACCCTACTTGCTGTGCCAGTGGTCGCGGTTTCGAGTACCGCTGGGGGCATTCATTTGTGTGATGAGGACGAATGTTTGTACTCCAGTCGTGGGTGTTTTTATACATAATGTTTGTATGTATTTAAAGTTATATATGTGTATAATACTACATCAACTATCTGGTATCCACAACACAAGCCTCGTAGCTTACCATGGAAATAGATGGTGCTGTGTTGTGTGATTGGTTATTGCCCCAACATATTTAAAAAAAAACATTAAATAATTAATGCGTTAACTATTACATATAAATAAAAAAAAGATTTGCCCAAGCTTCGCTCGCGACGTCCCTAGATGCCTAATTGTAGCTTGTGTATTACTCCAGGTCATAGTCTATCCGTGTTCTAAATTTTTCACAATCCGTCCAGCCGTTTCAACGTGAAGAAATAACAATCATAAACACACATAGGTATACCCCAAAGGTAACGCGCTTGCATGGAAAAGCAATCCCGGGTTCAAATCACGGGTCTCGCTTATCTGATATTTTCATGTGCGAATCATTTTTCAACTATGTGCTTTACGGTGAAGGAAAACATCGTGAGGAAACCTGCATTAGTAAGACATGTAAATTTCGAAAGACATGTGAAGTCCGCCAATCCTAGTCCTCGTTGTATTGAAGGGAGGCCTGTGCCCAACAGTGGGACGTTAAAAGGGCTGAATACATACAAACACACATACAAACTTTCGCATTTATAACAGTAGTCCGATAAAATGCAGTATAAGTGCATTAATTGAGATTCCCGTAAGGGCAGATTTCCGCAATTTATTTTTTAAAACATTCTTAATAGTCCTAATAAGATTTTAGGTCAAAAACATTGGATAAATTGTCTGAAAAATTGGGTATTGGGAAAAAACTGTAATTAATTTTGTTATTACTGTTTTTATATAAACTCAAAGATTACATTAGAAAGTAAGTGTATTGATATTTAGGCGATACAAGGTTTGTCGGGTCAGCTTGTACGTAAAAATAGGTTTTTTTGTATACTGTTAGTGAAAACTAAAGCCTGGATTAAAATGAAATAAGCGTTTTGAAACTAAAATCCACAGGAAAATAAATCTTTATCACGGAGACGTATGTGTATGAAGATGGATCTGTAAAAACATTTCCATGAGCTGAGAGACACAAGCTAGTTAACAAAATGAGATTATAAAAATATTTTCAATATTTCACTTCGTAAATTCACACACACAATTTAAATTTACGCGTTTCTGGATTTTCCTACTTATTTATGGCATTTATTCGACAAATCATTGGATTATTCCAAAAAACAGATTGTTACACTTTTGTAAGCCTATGCCGTCTGATTGTCCAATCATCACCCGTATATCCTCTACCTATGATATATTTCGAGCGGTAAACTATAAATCGAATTTCCGATAATATAACATCCTATTTAATACTACATATAGTAAATACGTGATACCAACATATGTTATGTTTAAACAAAGTTCTCCAGTTTATGCTCTATTCTATTTTTCTCTTTTGGCTCGAGCATAGGCAAAATTAAAAACTTTCGAAATTCTGAAGTATTTTACATAAAATACCTTTACTCAGAACTTGTAAGTAATAAAACTAAAACTGTAAAACGGGAAAATTACGAACAATACTAGTAAATGAATTTTTAAATTGTAATAATTTAGTGAAAAATATTGTAAGTGCCTTTTTATCGTATGAAAAATAAAAGCTTGCGCGTCACTATTATTTAGCCAAGTTTAGTAAATTTATTTTTAATAATTCAACTCAATTTAAATATTATAACTTAAGTTACATTTTATATTAGGTATCTCATTGCATTTTTATATTATAAATTTATACCTATACTAATTACTATCAAATCCTTACTTTGTTAATATTATAAGTGTGAGTGTGTTTGTTTGTCCTTTTTCCACGTTAAAACAGAGTGACGGATTGGCGTGATTTTTGTAAGGAGATAGTGGGAGGGCTAGAGAGTGACATAGGCTACTTTTTACCGCGGGAGATTATCTCATTCCCACGGAAAAACAAAACACGTTATAATACAATCCAAAAAACTATTTATGATCAGAATTACTTGAAACTTGGTATTAATAATCTTCAATACAAATAAATACGTATTTTAGCATTTGTCGAAATTCATCCCGTAAGGGGGTAAAATGTGGTGAAAGTTTGTATGAAACCTACCTACCTTATTTAAGAGTTTTTTTGCAATTTTAGTGCGAGCGAAGCCGCGAGTTCTGCTAATAATAGCTATATTTTTTTCGTGCGACTTTATAAGCATAATAATTCCTAAATATTATAAAAAGTAATAATATATTACATTTTTAGTCATAAGTCAAAAGATATTTTATACCACTTATTATTCGAATGAAAATAAAAATTTATAAATAAACAATATTGATTCTTACTTTGAAATAAATTCGTGACTTACTGTAGTTGGAACGTACGCCTTGTTGGATGTGGCTTTCTCGTTCATCCATTTTACAGACTTCATCTTTTCCCATGGCAAATCACAATGAAAATAAATTTTACTTTGGTTGAATTTTGATTTAAATTTCATTATTATCACAGAAAATAAGCTTACAACGTCGCCCATCGTACGAATTTATGTTACGCTGTTGACGCGAGTTGAAAGCTAAATGGTCATGAGACCAACAGAGATACGTTTAATCTTATAACGATATTAGCATTCATGATCATAATTCAATTTACATTTTCAGTGAAACTTTTAGTCGAACATTTTATTTTTATAACACCCCAACGATCGCGCAGCACTTGACAATCTGCGTTAAACGCATGGATGACAAATAAAAGTTAAACGATTGTCGATTGACAATTTGTCATTTGACACTTGACAGTAGCAAATGGAGGACAGATAATATACTATTTGTGTAGGTATCATAAATCGATATATCATTAAGAATTAATATCGATGTTTCTCGTATTACGCAAAGTTTCTGTCGTTTGATTAATCTAGTAAGTAAGTGATACTCACTACTACATTGGCGAAGTAATCTGTGTCCAACTGGTACGCCTAAAAGCCAAATAACAAAGAATTGAATTGAAGTCATAATCTAAAATTTCTCATGAATAGATTAAAAACCTATTAAATTTTTAGTTTAAAAGTTTTAGATTAAAAATAATCATATTTTAAAAACGTAAACTTTACATACATCACATTAATTTTAAAAAATATCTTGTTCTCGTAAAGACACGCCCTTATTTCTTGTTCTGGGTGTAGTAAAACGACACATGCTAGTTGCCGACTGATTTATTTATATTATACCCACACCTTTATATCTTAATATTACTACATCTTCCCCTTCAATGAGAAAGTTATACTTATGAAAAATAGAAACATACAAAATAGCAAAAATCTACAATAACAAAAACAATGAAGTATTTTTTTTTTTTTAATGTACTATATACCTATATTATTATTATTTTTAACAATATAAACCATATAAATCGTATACCTACACTGATAATGACAAGGCTAAATAAAATCTTTGTTTTTTCTAAAATCTTTTGCATCTATACATACAATGTACATAATAAGTATTTTTGTAATTTCCTTTAATGCTACTACTTATGTACGTATATTAATAAATTTTATCGAGATATACAATATAAATATAACAACAAAAAAAAATATAATAAACATAGTAACAATCCATATTAGTACATATTATTCTCGTTTTTTAATAATAATTTAGCTTGCCTTCTTGTAATAGGCCCATAAATATTTTTTGGAGGGCTACTACGTGCATGCTTAGAATCGCTATTCTGTTCTGAAATTAATTTACTTGTACAGCCCTCTTTAAATGGCTCACCTTTGCCTACTACGCTCGCTTTGTCCGAAGTTAACGCCGTGTCACCCGACTGTATGATGTCATGTTTTGCTTGTGCCCGTCTGCGCACTAGATGACGCCTATTTCGCCTATATTTACGTCCAGCTTCATCTTCTACAATGTATGATCTGGGTTCAACTGCCTGATGCAAAACTTTTACAAGTTTACGCTGCTTACCGTCGACCATGACAACTTTGTCGTTATTATGCAGGACCGGGAGACATTTTGTTGTTTTATCATAATTATACTTTTGCTTTTCTTGTTGTTTAAGCATGGCCCGATGATTTCTTTCACGGTCAACTGGTACGTCTAATGCTTTATGGTAAATGGGTAAACGTGTGTTTAATTTTCTTCCCATTAGAATTTCGGCAGGTGAAACAACCTTTTCCCGAGGCGTCGACCTAAAATTCAACATACTTAAATAATAATCATCTCCTGAATCGGAACATTTTTTTAGTAAATTTTTCACTGTACGTACGGCTCGCTCACTTTTGCCATTACTTTGCGCATAAAAAGGAGAGGTTTTTGTATGTTTAATATCCCAATCACAAATAAATTGCTTAAATTCGTTAGACGCGTACGCGGGACCATTATCCGTCACTAATTCCATAGGGATTCCGTATCTTGAAAATTGTTCTTTCATCGCTTTTATAACTGATTTACTATTAATTGAATTTAATTCATTAACTTCAATGAAATTTGAAAAATAATCAACTAAAATAAGATAATATTTATTTTTATATTCAAATATATCAGATCCTAATTTAATCCAAGGTATATCAGGAATACTGTGCGGAATCATAGGTTCGCGCCGCGGCATCGGTACGTGACGGGTACAAGTCGCGCAATCACGTACAGCGCGCTCGATGTCCCGAGACATACCTGGCCAAAACATCACTTGCCGCGCCCGCCGCTTACAACGTTCTATACCGAGATGGCCTTGGTGTATCCTATTTAACATTTCACCTCGCAAACTAGCAGGAATATACAATAAATTTTCTTTTACGATCAAACCGTTGATATAGTGTAAGCTTTCGCGATAAGACCAAAATATTCTGAGTGTCGTTTTTATTTTATATTTATTTTTAGGCCATCCTTTCATAATGTAAGCACACAGATCCTGACATTGTTTATCTTTTGCTATATGTTCCCGCAATAAATCCAATTTTTTATCGCTAAATTGAAAATTATTAATTAAAAAACATGTTTGTGCTTCTAAATCACGGTTTAAGCGGTCATACGTATTATAATCTGATAAGGGTGCGCGGGATAGTGTATCTGCGATATACATATATTTTCCCGGAGTATAGATAACATTAACATCATAATGCTGTATCCGTAACAACATACGCTGTAACCTCGCAGGTACCGAGGACAAGGATTTTTTAAAAATTGATTCTAGTGGCTTATGATCCGTATGTATAGTAACATCACACCTACCATAAATATACTGATGAAAACGTTCACATGCGAAAACAATAGCCAACATTTCCTTCTCGATTTGAGCATATCGTCGTTGCGTATCAGTAAGCGTGAGCGAAGCAAACTCGACCGGACGACCATCCTGCAGCAACACTGCGCCCAGCGCCTCTGAGCTCGCGTCCACCGATAGCACAATAGGTAGATCAGTAGAATAAAGTGCTAAAACTGGGGCTGTTGCTATTTTACTTTTAAGTAATTCTACTGCTTTTGAGTGCATTGATTCCCATATCCATTCTATATTTTTTCTTAACAACCCCCTTAGAATAGCTACTGATTCAGAATAATTAGGAATAAATTTTGAAAGATAATTAACCATACCTAAAAATCGTTCTAGAGATTTTCTATCCGTTGGAACAGGCATATCCAAAATCGCTTTTATTTTATTTTTATCTGGTCTCATACCATGTTTATCAAACACGTGACCCAAGTACGTAATTTCTTCTACACCGAATTTGCACTTTTCTTTATTAAACCGCAAGCCAATATCTCTTGCTCTTTCTAATAATCGTCTCAAGCGTACATCATGTTCTTTTCGAGTTCTTCCCCATACAATAATATCATCAATAAATGAGTCAACACCATCTAAGTCCTCTAAATGCTGCCTCACTTTCGAGTGAAACAGTTCGGGTGCACAGCTTATGCCATATGGTAAACGCAAGAATTGATACCTGCCAAAAGGTGTACTAAATGTACAAAGATCCGCACTGGCGTCGTCCAGCTGCAGCATCCAGAAGCCGCAGCGCGCATCCAGCACACTAAAGTAGCACGCGCCGCTCAGTCTCGCCGCCAGCTCGGGCACAGTAGGCAAAGTGTAATGCGTCCGCTTTATTGCATTATTTAACGGTCGCGGATCTAAGCATACACGTAACTCACCGTTTTTTTTTCGCTACTAAAACAATAGCATTGACCCATTCAGTCGGATGCTGAACTTTACGAATGACCTCTAAATTTTCCATACGTTTTAATTCGTTAAATAACTTATCTCTAAGCCCATGAGGTATTTTCCGTGCTGGACATATACTAGGCTGTACCGCCTTATCAATTATTATTTTATGCATCCCTGGCAACTTACCTAAACCAGAAAATAATACAGAAAAATCTTTATCAATATTGAGAGAATCTACTCGTTTTATTAAACCCATTTTTACACATGCATTCAATCCTAATATATTTTGACAATTCATATCACAAACAACAAAGTTTAAATTGTACTCATTTTGCTTGTATATAATAGACAAGTTACACTGCCCTATAATCGGTACGACATTACCGGTATAAGAACTTACACGACCATTGTAAACACTAAGTTTTTGACAACTAAAACCCAAATACTCGTAATCCCATTTTGATAATACATTTAACATTGATCCTGTATCTAATTTAAAAGTTAATTTCTTACCATTACAATATAAATTATCAAACCACTCACGAGACTCTTCACACCTCTTGCTGCAATTTATCATATTAATATAAATTATATCACTATTGGATTCTTCGGAACTCACACTCAAGTTATGCACACGTTTTGTCACCTTTTTGCACATTCGAGCAAAATGACCTCGACCTTTGCAAGAATAACACTCTGCCTGCTTCGCTATACACCTTTGTTTACCGTCACAAAACTCCTTGCCGCAACGCCTACATCCACGAAATTCGCCGGGAACACGACCACCGCCACGCACTAGCCCTGCTGCTGCCTCGCCGTTGCGCCAGCTGTTACGTGGGCGCGCCCGCCATGCCATGCTGGCGTCGCGCTCCTTATCTCGCATACTTTTACTATTACCACAGCCCGCGACTTCATCGATTTGAGTACTGGAAGATGCCTCTTCTATCTGTTTACTTTCATGCCTCGACATTTCATCCGCTTCACAAATTTGTATAGCCTTCGCCAAGGTTAACTCATCGGTTCGAAGAAGCCGATCGCGAACGACATTATTTGAAATTCCACATACAATGCGATCTTTAATTAAATCATCCGTAAGATGCTCGAACTTACAGCCGTGACTCAGCACTTTCAAGGCTGTGACGTATTTGTTAATTGTTTCGCCTTCGATTTGATTGCGCGTAAAGAACTTAAATCTTAACATAGTCACATTAGATTTAGTCCCAAAATGCAAGTCGAATTTATTTTTCAAGCATGTCAAATCATCTGCACTTTCACCTTTGTTGTATGTAAAAGTCGAAAATATTTCGTATCCGTCCGGGCCTATGAGATTCACGAGTAAGCTAGCCTTTACATCTGACGGCTCTTTTACTACACCTGACGCCTTAAGGAATATTTCGAATTGCTTCCACCATCTTAACCACGCGTCAGCGCGTGCGGCGGGACTGCCTTCTATCTGCAACTCCGTTGGCGGCCGAGCGTGTTCCATAATTTATTTTAATAGTAAAACTTCCTTTTATCACTTTTATCGTTACTTATTTTGTTTTAATAACTTCTATACTTGAGAAATCTTTTATTAAATATCCCACCGCTGCCACCATGTAGTAAAACGACACATGCTAGTTGCCGACTGATTTATTTATATTATACCCACACCTTTATATCTTAATATTACTACACTGGGCATGAAAGCGCCGTGTAACTGGTAAAAACTAGTTAATATTATGTAGCGCCGATGATTGAGCCTATCCATACGGCCTATGTAAAAAAGTTGCTGATATTGACAATCTCATAATATTTCATTTCATTTTAAAATAATGACCGATTACTTGAAAAAATTATTTAGTCCTAACTATTAATTGAAAATATTATTGTAATGAATATAGAATGATGTTTTGACGATGTTTCGATTCAGATGTATCGACAACACTAGAGACTAGTTAAAGGCCGCTCTACACATTTGCTGAGACCTGAAAGTGAAGGCTCTTAGGTCTCGATAAATGTTTTGGACGAGATCCAGATAATGACGACCACAAAATGACTTTGACTTTTTATGTCATGTGAGAACAAATTATTAAAATCTAATCTCATATAATAATTTTGTAATAATCCCATAAAATGTTTTTTTATTTATACAGATAAATAAAATTGAAATGTCTGTTTGTAATGTCAAAATAACAGCGTTTTCGGTTTTAGTTTACTAAATGCATAAGAAATTATATACAGTACATAAAAGAAAAACACAATTTTTAATATTTTTGTCTGCCTGTTTGTTCTGCATAATCTCTGAAACTTCTGGACTGATTTTGATGGGACTTTCACTGAATGATAGCTGATGTTATAGTCAGTAACAAAGGCTACCTTTATTTTAGAAAAAGAATTAGGGTTCTGCTTAAAAAAATTAAAACATACCTAGGGATGAACCCGAGCGAAGTGAGGTCAGGTCACAAATAAGTATGAATTATAGAGTATAGTTATGAATAATTTGATAAAGTATTTTATATGTTGTAAAAGTAGAAAGTTTCAATAAATAATGATTAAAAGTAATGTTTATAATTTATCTATTTGAGGTATATAAATAACATACATTAATTATGCATAATTAATACTATTTATAATAATTTATTTTCCTTAGAAGTAGCTTTCAAATATCTGTAATAGTCTTTTAATTTCTGCTATTCTTGCAGCTTGAGCTTGAACTGGAACCATAGCCTGAGACACCTCTTCTCCCTTGGCGAGAATTGTATACATACTTTTAATATTATTATCCATTGCATCACAGGTTTTACCAACTGCATCTCTATATACTTCCATGTTTTCTGCAGTGAGGGAAGAATTTGAATGTAAGATGCTTGATAAATTTTCTATTAAGTTATCGACAGATTGTGCTATCTTTTGAGCTTCATATTCGAGATCATTTAATACTGTTATATCTATTTGACCAATTTGAGGTGCTAATATTTGCTTGTATAATTTGCCAGAGGGTGTACTTGATCTTGAAGCACTAGAACTTCCAAAAACTGGTGTTTCTCCTCTTTTCGCTATTGGGCTTGATAGTTTAATTTTGAATTCTAAATCATCAGCTACATAATGTGTCATATCTCCTTCGTAGCGGACATGACCATCAATATCTAAAGGTATTTTTTCCTGTTTACGATTCTCTGATGGGAGGTCGTAAGGTCTAGATGGTCCAGGATCTTTATTTTGTTCCTCATTATTATTTCCATTATCGGAATGAAAAGATATTTCACTATACGAGGCTGTCATTCTTGATGATATTTCCTCATCTATATCCACTTCCGCATCTTTATTAGCCTTATCTTCAACTATTGTTATGTTGTTTTCATAAGGAGAAACTGAATCTTGATTATCAGTCATGATTTTTCAGGAATGGAATCTGTTTGATTAGTGATTACTTTTAGCGTTTTTATAACATTCTTAATGCTACGCGATCTTATTTCAAAATGATTTAATGTATGTATAATATTTATTTATTACAGTATCTATCAACATGAATTTCACAAGGATATGTTTAACGTAATTTTTTTCAATTTTTTAACAAATATCAAAACCATAGAACACTTTTATGATCAAGACGTACTACTACTCAATGTTGGATTATGGAGATATGGAGATCATGGATGACAATTGACAAATGAGTTGACAATTGACAAAATACAAGTACAATATTTGAAAATTAAATACCTACTCTAACTAAAAGTCATCATATGCTTTACAGATGATAAATGGATTCGTGTTTTTTTTTCATTTTGTAAAATGATTAATTTTTCATCAATAATTGAGAAAATATATGAAATTTTAAATTCACAAAATATAAATCGTTCATAAAGCTAAAAAATAAAAATTAAAAGTAAAATATTATCAAATAAAGTCAAATAAATACTATGTCAAATTTGCGGGAATATTTGACACTTGTCAATAATAACATCACAAACGTGAAATCGTAAAATGTTTAATCTATGGTGTAGTCGTCTCGAAATAATTTTGATTTGATGGGTAAAATATTGTTAGTTAGTGTTTTACGAAAATTGTATATTAGGTGAGGTAAGAGACGTATAATTGTTAATTTAATCAGCGAATTTACTATTACTTGATTCATTGTAAGCGTAGGAACAGTGCGAACATCCGTTTAACATGGCGCTCTCTAACGACATGTGCGGAAGATAACGCTTGTCCTTTGTCGTGTTATATTCTATTTCAAGCACCAAGTGTGGCTAATATTTTGTTTTTCAATTCTATATAAAGTTTTCAAGTTGTTACATAATCATTTTGTGAGCTTGAATGTAATATTACGACATAACTTGCGGGCATTGCGATGGTGAAAACCCGACGTAGTAACGGAGAGAATGGGGAGGTTGATGAAGGAAATTATTCAATAAACGACGTTGGAAATCTCTCTGATGAGAAGGTGATACATTCTGAATGATATTTACGTATCTTCTTTTATGGCAATGCACCTTAGCTTGAGTCTGAATGGTGGTCTATGTTTATAGTTTATACCAACTTCCTGTTCCCATTTTCCTCTCTAGGTACTTCTAAGAGTGCATGTAATTGCATGCGCTTGATAACTATTATTCTCAGTACAAGACTATAATTTGCCATGAGTCATGTTACATGTATTCCTTCTTTAATTAAACATCATAGTGCCATGATCCATTGTGTTAACAGTACACTTTTGCAAATTTTTTATGTTTCAAGTATTTTGAATTTGATATGATTAAGATTAAGTTACTCTTAATCAGCATGCCTTATATGCTTTGTTTAAATCCTATTAAAATTCAGATAGGTTTAAAGTATGCTTGTAAGAATATTTGTTGCATAATTTGTTAGACCAATTGAGATAACTCACTAAATTACATAGTAATTGTTGAATAGTAAAATTTTTATTTAAATATAAAAAAAGATGCAAGAGTTAATATTGACTAAAATATAGTTTGTCAGATTACATACTTTATTTTATTTCATATCCTCTAAAATGTTTTTATAGGCATCAAATTGGTCTCAAAGAGAATTAAGGAGTAGCCAATACAAGGTTGCAAGAAAAATACAACGCTGGCCAACTAGATGTAAGTCACAAGTAGTAATAATGTAATTGATATTAACAGACAATGTTTGAATATGTTATACATGTCTGTTTTATGTAATATACATATATTTTACACTTATACCATTTTGAAGTGAGGGTACTTTCAACCTTTTCAATTTGTGATAGTTGGTGAATTATTTATAGAATGGCTTGTTGTCTTAAATAAAGCCTATCTGCAATCATCTGAAGTCTCTGTCTATGATTTCATAATCACTATGTCATATTGAATTCTTATAGTTTGCAGTAAAATACAATTTCCAATACTCTTTTTATTAATGTATAGAATGCTGAAATGATTTGTAACTTGTAACTAACAAGAGCAAAAAATTAATAATGCATAAATCAGAAGTTTGTCAACTGCCAAATGAAATGTATATGTACAAACTAATTGCTAATTTGACATTGCCATTTATTTTTACAATTAGATAGCCGCAGTAGACTACGTGCAATCAAAATGCCTCGGTCAATGATGTTCCCAGAAAGTGATACAGAACCAGAAAAATATTCCAGAAGGTACATGACTATGTTTACTTAAATGTATGCACATTAGTTGCACTAACACTTTTGACATATCATAGCCTCATTGTATTAAAAATATAACTCAACAAATGTATTTTATGTACATATTACGTGCATTGAAGTAATATTGATTCTTTTTATTTAAAAAAAAACTCATTTATTCATTATTATATGTTTAATGGAAAAAAGATAGGTGTGTTTGTTGGTTTCTAAATAGGTACCCTATTTTGCTGATGTCTTCTGCTACTTTGGTTATTGACTCGACTGACTGATTTATGGTTCTCATTGATCTTCAGGACAACTAGAAAGTGTAATATTCAATTATTATTTTTTTACCTAAGAATAAATGTGTAGTAAACATTGCAGGGGGTTGATTGTTTAAAATAATAGTTATAATGGGAAGTAAATATCGCTTCAATTTTAGGTCTCGCCAAGTCAGAGTGTTTTTTGCTGACGATAATGACACAAAAAATAGAAGTATGAAAATAAGGCGTAATCGCGGGCCTAGGAAGAATTATATGGAAGACAGTGAAGATAAACCGATACAGCAAAGTAAGTATCGGAATAATAAAATTATGATACTAGGACTACAATGTAAGTCTTTTCGATAAGTTATCTAAAACTCTTATAACGGCATATTTTAATAAAATAACATTGTAATTGTTTTAGAGTATATGTATGAATCTGAGGCAAATTAATCTATTATGTGATTTATTTTCAAAAGAAATCTTTCAGGCTGTTTATTGATACTCAACATTTTAATATAATTTTAATTAAAAAACATCCTTGTTAGCTGTAACCAGGCCATAAATTGTAATATAATAAAAGCACTTTTGTGGGTATTGACATGAGTAGTGATAGTGATGACATATTATATGATTAATGATTATCGATCAAAAAAGTACTAGATACACAATCAGAGACAAAAAACGTCCTCACCGAATGAGCGCTCATTTGTAAATTTGAGCGCGCTTTTAATTTTTTTATGTGGAAACAACTTTAAGCATTGCATTTAAGTTTGAATTTATATTGTTGTATGTTTATTTCAACTGGAATAATTACCTAAACACAATTGTTGACAGTTTTAAAAGAACTTTTGTATGGGATTAGTACTTTTTTATCAATGTTTATAATCCTTTAATGTTATATTTGTGATTAAGAAGAGAAACTTTAAATATATCTGCACTATCTTTAATAGGCCTTGGCGAAGTCAATAAAATGGAAATAGCCATAGTCGTGACCGCAAGTCGAATGATACCACGTTTTTATTTTCAAATCATTTCAATCTTAATTCAAAGAACTAATATAGCCCTTTTGCTATTTAATTATGTTTATAGATTTGTTTATTATTACATGGGTCTTCAATCAAATGTCTTTGTTTAATCTTATTGTCCAATATCAGGAGAGATCATCTTAATTTAATGGGTCATGAGACCTTGCCAGTATTGATAGATTTATGTACAAAATTTAATTAAATTTCTTTAATGATTTTCTTATATAGTGACTGCGATAGTTTTTATTTTTATTTTGAGTCAGTGAAAGTTCTAAATAAATACCGACTTCCAGGCATTAAAAAATAAAAATCGGCTTCTAAACCCTGAATAGTAAAAAATAACTGAATGGGGGTTTTCATTTACTATAGATACTTAGATATTTTCGACGTCGATGGCCGGACCACCTCGTTACCTACCGTAATAGAATACGTCGGCACTTGGCCAGCGTGGTGAACTATGCTCAGATTCCCCTCGTACATAAAGGAGGCCCGTGCCCAGCAGTGGGACTTTAAAAAGGGTTGAATACATTTCAAATAGTGCCGTAGTCTATACTAATAAAGAAGATAATACAATTAAAGATATTTCAGATGTAAGACGCAGTTGCCGCAAGCGTAAGCTCCTTCATCACAATTTTAATGAGAGTTGGATAACAAATGAATTGAAAGTGAAAGGGTATCCAGATTTGTATGTGTTCCCCGGCACAAGTTCTTCCGACGAATTTTCATCAGGAGACGAGGCCAGAGAAACTAAAAAATTGGTAAGCAATATTTTTACTACTTTTTTTATAGCACTTAATAGTAATACAGTAATTTCAATACAAAAAAAGACATGTGTATGTAGTTGTGTACATTAGAGACGTTATACTTTGGCATAACAGAACAAAAATAGCTAAAGATTTCATCCCGTATGTCACAACTCTCTGTTTGTAAAAGGAATGCTACTAACTTCGTCATATCGCTATTTGCTGTCAGCGTGCCCGCGCATCGTAAAAATTTAACTCATAATTTTTTCCAAATGTGTCAAAAGAAGTATAACAAAAATTACTTTATAATAATATAAATATGTTGGGACATTAACACACAGCATCATCTAGTTCCATGGTAAGTTATGAGGCTTGTGTTATGGATACCAGATAGTTGATACACGACACATATGGGGCATTCCACGCCAAATCAGAGGGTTTCAAAAAAGAATATTTATGATTTTCTTAATATTTTGGTATTTTTAATACGCCTCAAAAGAGGTTTCCTGGTAAATTTGGAGATTATTTTGATCAAATTTCATCTAAATCGGTTTAGTAGTTCCAGAGATTACCCTCTAAAAACTTACAAACTCACAAACTTTATCTCTTTATAATATTAATATAGATAACACGTGTAGATACCCAAGTTCGACTCTTACTTGACTACTTTTGTTCGTTTGTAAATAGACCCGCAGCCACGCCCCCACAAACACAGATGAAGATACACAGCTGTCACGCCAGAGAAGAACTTCGGCCAGGTTCACAAACAAAAAGGTAAAAATTTTTTTTATTACATGTGTATTATTATAAATATGTTTTTTTCACATTTATTAACTATAACTAAACCATCACATTTGAATATGTAATTTCTTCATTTGCTAAAAAGATCACCAAAATAATAATTTTAAATTGTATATGCTTAAAGGGGAGCTAAATTAAAATATTTTAATCTTGAAACTTACACTATGTTGTCTGTTTATCAGTTTTTTGTCTGTATTTGAAATATATTGGGGTGAAAATATTCCACTTGAAAATAATTTGGAAGTATGTGTAAGATTCTTATTCTACGTGAATATTTGATACTAGCGGCTTACGCTCGCTTCGCTCGGCTGCTTCCCTAGGTATATTTTCTTTTTTTGAGCTTCCGCTCAAATTGATTTTCGAAAATAAAGGAGCCTAAGTTACTCCTTTAACATCAGCTGACCAGTGCAAGTCGCAGCAGAATCAGTCCAGCTGTTTCGGAGATTAGTCAGAACAAACAGACAAACATTTAAAAAAAATGTATTTTCCTTATATAATGAGTATAAATTAGTATATAATTATATATGAATTTAGTATAAAGCTGTTATTTTGATATTACGCGCAGACACTTTAATTTTATTTATCTATATAGACTTTAAATAAAACTACAAAAAAATAAAATGAAACCGTGAAAAAACCCGAAAAAGCATTATTTAGGTATGAATTATTTGAAAATACACTATTTACACTTTGATCGCGCTATTTACAAGTTCATTGCATATATGGATTAATTAAAAAAACTTACTTATTTCAGTATTAAATGGTATAATTCCCAGGATGCATCAGAATCGGATTCAGATGATGAAAATAATCAGACTGTGATAGAGAAGAAACCCGCGCCCGAATCGAAAAAAGTTAAAGAGGAAAATGACCAAATGGACACAGAAGAAACACAGACAAAAGAAGAACAAAATAATGAAGAAAAGGATGAAGAACAAGATAGCACAAGGTATGTTGATTGGTTTGTTGTGTTTTATAACACAACATTATATATTATAATTGTGCATTTGATACTTGATAACGTTATTTTCTTATAAGATTATCACTAGGTACGTTATAACGGTATAGTCGATCCCTTACTCTGTGAAAAATAAAAACAAATCTATGCCAAATTTCTTCCAGATCCATTTAGCCGTTCTGGCGTGAAAGAGTAACAACATCCATCCAAACTGTCGCATTTATAATATTTTTTTCAGCCGAATCCTAATTCTTTTTCTAAAATTAAAGTAGCTTAAAAATTGTGTTTTTCTTATAAGTACCGTATATAATTTCATATGCATTTAGTAAAACGCTGTTATTTTGACATTACAAGCAGACACTTCAATTTTATTTATCTGTATAGATGGGATACATCAATTAGTAACAATCTTCTATACAAGATTTTCAGAACCTTACATACAAGATCGATTTTCGGGATATTAAATAAAACATAGACGTCAGTATCTTTATAATAAATTGATGACATATTTATTGGTTGTTGCAGTAACCAAGTTCCAGCTCGATCAACCAGACGGAGAGGGAAAAGAATTAAGAAGAAAGTTGTTAGTCATCAAGATACCGGTGAGTCTATTTAGAACTTATTCTTTGACATATCTATTATAGTGTTTTATTGGATTATATAGATGGTGACTTTTAGTGTTTGGAAAAAATGTATTTGTTTAAATTAATTCATTTTTTAATAAGTAAATTAGCAAGGTGTGGGGAAGTGTACTTTTTAATTTTTAAATTTAGTATGTATATACATTTTTTTGTATGTGTCTATGAATAAAAATCGGGTAAGGTCAGTAGTATGTACATTTTAAATAAATTTAGCATATCATATTACACAAGAATAATAGATTATATCAATATTTCTTCTGGGGATATTATTATATTAAAATACGCGCAATATATGTAGACTGGACTGAAGTATCTTTGGGTGTTTGCACATACATATGCAGTATAATGGTGCTCTTATATTTTCTACACAAATTTAGTCCCAGTGAGAATGGTGACCGTGGACTAAATCGTTTAGGTATTGGTACTTAATGTATGTACATAAGTAATATATAGTAAGTGGGGTAGTTAAGGTAACGAGTGATGTAATACTGACGTATTTCCGCCACGGTGGCCAATTTCACTGAGACTGGCACGGGCAGGAGATGTTATAGTCCCCAATATCTGTCACTCTCATGCTCTGGTGGAATGATAATCCGACACTCGCGGTGAGAGATCAGGCGCAGGACCGACGCAACACATGCTCCAAGGCACAGGGTTGAAATACCGCCATCTTTCCAATTCGCTAACTGTTACTGAGAATTTCATAATACAACGTCTCCATAACTAAATACGGCTCGAATCCGGCACTTCCGGATCTGCAGCCGTACATGGTAGCCACTTGACCACCGAGGCAGTGACAAGGTAACAAGTGACCGTGGCTTATAGCGTCGTCGTCGTCGTCGGAGTCGAGCAGCTCGCTGCAGCGGCGGCCGCGGCGCTCGGGCCGCACGCGCGCCGCGCAGCCCGCCTTCGTGCAGCTCGCGCCCAGGGAGACCCGGCCGAGAGGTAATGGTGCACTGTGTACTTGTAGTGATTACTGCAATCTGACTGTCTCACTGATTACTGTTTTGTATGTGTGCGTGTGGGTGTGTATGTGTGGGAGTGTGTGTGTGCGTGCGTGTGTGCGAGTTACTCTATAACTTAAGGACGACTAAATCTTTCACTAATAGGGATCTATATTACTGCCAATTCTAATATTCTACTTATTAATCTGATAAAAATGTGTTTACTGTAACAAATTATAATAACTTTAATATATAAATAATGAAGTCCGAAAATAAATGGGAGTTGAATTATTTTATCCGCTGGCGCTAGTAAGGGTAGTAATTAATTTTTTTTTTAGCTTAGTTGAGGAATTGGGTGGTGGTTCATACTTTTTAATGTAGCAGATAACTTCAACTTAACATGATGCTGCACACTATCTTAATAATAAGTATTCTCACATTTTTTCGGAATAATAAGTTCAGTTATAAAATAATATTGTGTTTAAATTTTTTTTATTAAAAGTGATGGTAGCATGATATTTATTCCAGGTAATTAATATTTGTAATGATTTGAATCTACAATAAGAATTGAAAAGTATAGCTTTGGAAGATTGGATTTAAATATAGAAAGTATATTATATGTAACATTATTATTCTTATATGTATATTGAATCGTTGAGTATTTATATAAGCCTATATGTCTTCATTGACAACTACATAATTCTGTTTCGACATTATGACATTTTGTACACAAATTGTATCAATGAGAACTTTTTTGAACAGGTTTTATTGTTGTTTCAGGTAAAGCATTTACACTTAGAAAGAAACCATATAGTTTGAGAGAAAGAAAACCAAAGTCACTACGTAGGAAAACAATAAGATGTGAGTCTTTTATCAATTTGTATATTAATGTAATGTCCCTGATACAATATTTTTGTATAAAATCAATCAGAAGGATATTACTTGTATGTTAAATATGTAATATTTGATATTTTTTTTAATATAATAATATTATTTCAGCACAATCTCCATCAAGCAGTAGTAGCAGTAGTAGCACTTCTAGTTCAGATACTGAAGAAGATCTCAATGTTTCTATGAAAAATAAAACTAAGGGCAGGTATGGGGCTCTAATGCTTTATTTTACAATATTCAGTTAAATATATTGTGAAAAAGAAAATTAATAAAAAAAAGTCATCAAACATTATGGTATTACACAAATTTTTGTTTATTTTTGTGTTGTTTCCAAGAAACACTTAAAATTATATATTTTCATTTTTGTTTCAGACAAAAGTCAAAGTCTATGGATGACAAGAAGACAGACAGAGCGTTGAGGGACATACAACCAATAGAAGTAGATGGCAGTGTCAGATTTTCATCTGTAAGCTTACACTTAATAGAATAAATTGAAGTAAAATAGAAAAAAATGTGTCAATTATTAAATATGAATAACTTGTTTTTAGGTGGGAGGTTTAGAAGAACATATAAAATGTCTTAGAGAGATGGTCCTCTTTCCCCTAATGTATCCAGAACTCTTTGACAAGTTTAAGACTCGACCAGCCAAAGGTGTTCTTTTCCATGGGCCCCCGGGCACTGGGAAGACTTTGTTGGCTCGAGCTCTGGCCAATGAATGCAGTTTGGTCGGTGGTAGGAAAGTAGCCTTCTTTATGAGGAAAGGAGCAGATTGTTTGAAGAAATGGGTGGGGGAGAGCGAACGGCACTTGAAGTTATTGTTTCAGCAGGTGATTTATTGATTGATAATTTTTTTTATACCATGCGATTAGAATAATAGAGTACGAACAATACTCATATCTGTTCAATACACAAAACAGATATAAGAATTATCTATGTAATTTAACATGACTGAAATTAGACATGTTAAAAATATATATATTGAAATATTTCGAATTTATATCTCGACACTTTTACTATGTATTGTATCTGTTATTCATTTGGGCGTAACTGGAGACAATTGGGCTAATTTCAAGAAATTTGTATTATTCATTCATAATGTTAATATAAGTATAACCATCTACTTTTAACTTTGTATTAAATTGGATTTAATATAAAGTCTTGTTATTTTTTTATTACAAAAATATTGTTTTTTCCGTGGCGTTCTCATTTTAATACCACACTTTTTAAGCCATTGATCAAATAGTACAGCAAAATAACTTTCATAAATATAAGTGAAGATAAAGTTCATGGTCATAATGATGATAATCTATACATATAATAAAATCCTGAATCGAATCCGTACATTAATTAATATTTTTTGGAAAATCTTATTGAAATAGCCATTATTATCAATAGAGAAGCCAAATCTACAGATTTTAGAATTTTTGTCGTTCTGTATGTGACCGCATCACGAGAAAACCACTGGACAGATTTTGATGAAACTTGGTATGATGATACCTGGTTATCCAGGTCAACATATAGGATACTTTTTACTGCGGAAAAATATATCATCTCTGAGAAATCTATACTAAACGTTAAAACGTAACTAGGAACAAATCCGAGCGGAGCGAGAGTGAGTCGTTAGTGATCATAATAAATATTAATCTAATATTCTACAGGCAAACAAAATGAAGCCGTCCATAATATTCTTCGATGAGATCGACGCACTGGCGCCCGTGCGGAGCGTGCGCCAGGAGCAAGTGCACACCAGCGTTGTGGGCACGCTGTTGGCAGAAATGGACGGTGTTTGTGACAGGTACTTGGATCTACTTTTATATAAATAAAACAATTTTTCTTTTAGATTTTTTCGCGGTTTTATTTTTGGTTACAGTTGGAAGAGTTCATTTCATGTTGGTTGTAAAATTTTCTGAAAGTTTGGGAACCAAATTGTAGCAAAACAAAACCGCAAAAGTGTCCGAAAAATAATTTTGTTTAAGAAAGGTTTATTTTTAGATAATTTTGATACGTATTTTTTATACTTTTGTCGATTAATTTCCAAAAATGTTGATTTCATAAAGTTGACGTGTTGCTACTAAGTCGTTTAAAAGTCTGACGTGAAACTTAACATACCAATACATACACTGACATGGTGTGTGGTAAGTATGTAACTCCAAAACTGATGGCTAGTTAATAATAATGAATTAGGTTATGTTTGTTTTACAAAGTATTTGGCTAATTTAATAAAGTCGGTGCAACCTAATTTGGGTGTATGTAGAATTTTAGTTATGAAAATATCTTCGTCAATTTTAAGCCAACCTCAGTAGTGATTTGACACAAATTTCAAGAATTCCTTTCTCCTTTATGGGCGCAATAGTTTTTTTTCGAACTTATTTTGAAGTCCTATAGGTCCCATAGGAGTCGAAAACAATTTTCTATAGATTTTACACATAGTTTAATTGATATAAATGAAATTATATTTATTGAATTATTGATTAATAATATACATATAATCTGTCCCTTTATATTTTATTAGCGACTTACCTTCGTTTTGCTGGGGTGCATTCCTGGGTATCTTTTTTTCATATATTGAATTGTTTTATTTCTGACCCTTTTGGCAGCGCACGCTGATAAAGTAATTGAATAGTCCATTTTTTTTCACTTCATTAAAGTTGTTATAATTTCTGACAGCAAACAATTTTTTATCGAAAAAATATAATCAAGCTTCCTTTATTCTGAACCGGATCAGTAATTTCAAACATTGCCCCCCACCATACAAAATTCTTCTTCTTCTTCCTGCCCATTTCCCAAATTACTTGGCGTCGGCGCAGTACGTCTACCATACTGCTGATCGGTTTTGGCAAAAGTTTTACGACCGGCCGCCTGCCTGACATCAACCCTCTTTGGGAACGCTGTTGTTTACAAAATAACCATACAAAATAACCCCTAAATAAAGTTGTTACTTCTACTATACATACATATATTGATATAAAAATTAAAAATTGCGTGTATGAATGTGTACACACGCAAGAAGTAAAACTTCTGTAGGTTAATCGGTACTCTTTATGAAATTTCAATTTATGTTTTAAATAATTAGGATAGGTAAAATATTAAAAATAACGCATATTAGGCATATTACAATCATATATTTATAGAATATCATTTAAGGAAAGTATATAATATTATAATACTAGTATTGCCTGCGGCTCCGCCCGCGTTCAGATGACCAATAACCAAATTCTTAGGTTTTACATATTAGTATACTTTTACGTGCAGTTTTTGTATTTTTTCTCAAAAATGAGATATATTCCCAGGGTAAAAAGTGTCCTATATGTTGATCCGGATAACATACTATCACTATACCAAATTTCATCAAAATCCCTCTAGTGGTTTTTCTGTGATGCGGTAACAGACAGACAATTTAAATGACAATTGAAATAAATAATTTTTATTTCAATAAAATTTCTAATGTACAGATTCGGCTTAGTTACAATTTTATTATATGTACATATAGATATCATTTGTCGACAATAACGACGGTTAACATGGCAACAAACGTACGTACATTTTTTCGTAACGCATTCACCAGCTTACCCCCCAAGTCAAGCGTAAAGAAGTTTTAGTTCAATAACCTCTGCATATAATTACAGGGGAGAAGTAATAGTGATAGGCGCAACGAACCGCCTGGACGCGGTGGACCCGGCGCTGCGCCGCGCCGGCCGCTTCGACCGCGAGCTGCACTTCCCGCCGCCGCACGCCGCCGCGCGCCGCGACATACTGCACATATACACGCGCCACTGGCAGCCGCCGCCTGGCGATGCCACTTTGGATCATATAGCTGATATTACTAATGGTTATGGAGGTTTGTATTCAGATATTTTTAACGTTCCATTGATGGGCACGAACATCCCTTCAATGCGAGGGGGATCAGGCCTACTCCACCACACTGACCAAGTGCGGGTTGGCGGATTTTATATGGCTTTCGAAAAGTTGCTAGGCTCTCTCAGACATATAGGTTTCGCACATAAAAGTATCAGTGATGCGAGACCCGGGATTCGAACCCGCACTTCTATTTAGGACACTTGAAACGCTAATTGTATATTGTGAGTTCTTGTATATCAATGGGTGAAGAAAAACAAACATCCATCAAATTTTTGAAATACCTATTTTCTTTAGTTCATAGCTATTGCTCAAATGTTTTTTTATTTCTTTTTTCAAGGGTCTGATTTGAAGGCGTTATGTTCGGAAGCAGTTTTAAAGGCATTGAAGAGGGTCTATCCACAAGTATACGAGAGTGATTATGCCCTAGTTATAGATCCAAAAAATGTAAGTTTTTTAACAATGACTTATAAAAAAAATATATTATAATTATTTATATTTGATAATATATTCGAAGATAAAAGTATTATTATATAATTATTAGCTATGGTTTCAGTCGCGTGTATTTTTAGATTTAATATTTTCATATAAACGCACAGTACTGGGATTCAATGTATAAATACAAAGTCCTTACTATCAATCACTAAGCAAAAAGAAATGTCACAATCCAGGTGGAAGTGACGCAGAAAGATCTAGAAGCGGCGATAGATAGCTTAGTAGCTGCGAGCTCTCGCAGCGCGCCGGCGCCCGCGCGCCGCCTGCCGCAGTACTGCGAGCCGCTGCTGTCCGCGCAAGTGAAGGCCGCCGCCGAGTTGCTCAGTGAGCCGTGTGTGGTTGGCAGGTATGGATTTTGTTATAGTGTGCTAGTTTTTATTGTTATGTTATAAAGACCCAAGATATGAGTGTGTGTGTGTGTATGTGAGTGTGACAGGTGCACTTTTTTTTAAAAGATATGGAGAACAAAGCGGTCGATAGTAAAAAAGGTGGATATTCTTTTAGACGGTGCCATTGTTATTTATGCAAGGGCTGTAAAAAGTGTTGTTTAGATTGTGCTGCTTTCATATTATTTTGCAGATAGGTCTTTTATTGTAGTTTTATTTAGTTTAGTCACAGATGGCATAATACTATATTTATATAGTAGTACACAGATAACTATTCTTTTGGCTGTTTTTGATTTCTTGTATAAATAGTAGAAGTCGTTAATCTGCAGACTGTCGTACTATTTTACTTTAAAAATAAATTTAAGTTTAAACCAAATGTCATTAGTATATCGTATTATGTACTAGCGGCTCACCCTCGCTTCGCTCGATTACGCCTCTAGACATACAAAAACAAATCTATCTCACGGGTACCACACATTTTTCCGGGATAAAAAGTAGCCTATTTGTTACTCTGATGTAGTAGTTTTTGTGTACTAAGCTGTATAAGTTACTATAGTTTTTAACTATCCCACGGCAACTCTTTCTTTAGACTTTCGCGGGATATAAAGTGTCTAAAATGTTGACATGGGAGGGGGGAGGGGGAGGGGGTTATAAGGTACCACCATGCAAAATTCCATTTAAACCGGCCTAACAGTTTCGGAGATTAGCCCGTACAAACAGAGAAACAAATAAATAGAAAACATCTGAATCTGTTCTATTTCTCTTCTAACATCCCCCTGACATGGTTTACTTCCCCCTGACAGATATTCGACCTCTACAGTATTATTACATGTATGTATGTTTGTGTATTATCAGCCACAGTAACACGCCTGATTACTCCAACGTGCTGCTGGTGGCGGGCGAGTGCGCGGACAGCCACGTGGCGCCGGCGCTGCTGGCGCGCCTCGAGCGCTGCGCCGTGCGCGAGCTCAGCGTCGCCGCGCTGCACTCCGCGCTCGCATACTCGCAGGAGCAGGCGCTTATATCGGTATGTAGCTTTCGTATATTAAAACATAGATACAAATTTCCTAACAAATGTCTCTGCAAAAAGTGGGGACGACATGTGATGTTAAGTCGAACCAAAGAATAAAATTCTAAAATTCGAATTTTAATTGTCTTAATACAAATTGGAACTTATGCACACTATTTAAAGTTCTTTTTTTAACGGAAACGTCCCTTTTTATTTTGTCATTCGTAAAGAAAAAGAGATTTGAAAAAGCGCGTAAATTTCAAATTGTGCATGTTTATGAGGACGGGAAATTGTTAGAGGCGTACCGAAATCGCCGGTGTATATAAATAAATAAAAAGACAAGAATTGCTCGTTTAAAGGTATTAGATTAAGTTATACTAGTGACTCACTTTCACTTCGTCCGGGTGCGTGCCCTAGGTGCCCAACAGTACCACGCCGTAGTGCTTATTTTTTCAACTTATCATTTTCTTTATCTTAAAACAAAGCTTTATATCTAAGATTAATACATATATACAAATAAAATACACCTTGTTCAGAAGCTTTGGAGATTACTCTTTACATACAAATTTCCAAATTATACTTCTTTACAATATTACTATAGATAGATTAACATCTCACTGTTCGATTGGGACAGGTGTTCTCCGAGTGCCGTCGCGCGGACCGCGGCTGCGTGCTGCTGGTGCGCGACGCGCCGGCCGTGTGGCGTGCGCTGGGCGCCGCCGCCGCGCTGCTGCCGCAGCTGTGGCGCGCGCGCGCCGCCGGCGACGCCACGCTCATGCTCGCCACCGCGCCCGCGCATCACGATATGCCCGAACAGGTTGGTTATATATACTGCCTTCTTTGTAAAGAAGACTCTAACTAACAATTTGATCAAAAAATTTCGGACAAGTGCGAGTCGGACTCGCCCACCGAGGGTTCCGTACAAATTTGTAGGAAATCTGTTTGTCTTTAATTTTCAACTTTTTTAACTTTTGGAATTTTTCCTTTATTTGTGTTGTAAGACCTTGCTTTTAACCAAAATTGACAAAGCTAGGTCAAACGGAGTTTCTCAAATATTCATAGATCTATAACACGTGTTTTAGTAGTGGACATAAAAAAAAAATAGTTATTTTTATTGATTTATTTTTTCTTTTGCAATTTTTTTTCTAGAGTATTTTCTTCCGCTACGCCAAAGAAGTGTTAACTTCTTACGTGCTTACATAAAGTACATACACTACACATTAAATGTACAGAAAATAATTAAGTTTATAAATATAAAGTAATTAATATGAAAGCGTTGAAAATATTCAAATTATATAATACAATTTCTTTTCTAGCTCCAAGAACTGTTTCCAGAGTACAAAGACTGCGTATACAGGGTGCGCGAGCCCACCGCTTCTGAAGTCATCAACTTCCTGAAACCTATCATCACTGAAGCACCGCTACAACCTCCCATTATAGAGAATAATGACCCGCCGCCTCCTTTGCCTAGAGGTAATCATATATTTTATTTTTATGATTGAAAGAAAACATAAAGGAATTCGCTGCATGTTCCTCTTTACTTAGAATTTAACTTATAATTTTCGCGATTTAAAGAAAACACTTGTTTGATGTTTAAAGGATTATTTAATTATACACGGTTGGATGGACAATCACTTTATATTGGTTTATATACATTTAAGATATTGGACAGAGACAGACGTTAACCAGGGTACATGGAAGAATAGTATGAGACAATAGACATGAGTAATGAATTGATATTTGACGTTTACATAGACATCTGACATAGACTAAGTAATACTCATAACAACACTTATTTCGTAATTTCATTTTTAATGTGATTTTTTTTATTATATGAATCATATTTTTTTTTATAATTTGAAGATTATATTTAATTCATTTTATTAGATTGCAAAGAAGATAAAAAAACATAAACAGATACAATTTTTATTTATATATTTTAGATAAAGATGTTAGGTAAAATTATTACGAAATAATATTATATTTTTTCCAGCTCCACCCCCTCCCCCACCAAGAGAAAGCAAAGAGGAGATAGCGAGGAGAAAGAGAAAAGAAGACTATAAGCTACGAGAGTTAAGGATATTCCTTCGCGACATCTGCAGGAAACTTGCTTCGAATAGGCGTTTCTATAAATTTACTAAGCCTGTGGATTTAGAAGAGGTAATAATAAAAGTTTAACTTTATTAGACACTAGCGACTCACCCTCGCTTAGCTTCTGGTTCGTCATTAAACAAAAACAAATCTATCCCACGGGAACCGTAACTTATGTGCTACTTCCGGGATAAAACGTAACTTATGTGCTATTCCAGACTACAATCTATATGCTAAACTTTATCCAGATTCATAAATCTATCACAAACTTTCACCATTATAATATTAGTATGGAAGTTTATGCTTTAATTAAATTGTGTTCATATTTTTTGTGCCTGCAAAAGTGGTTTATGTTATTTTTGAGGTTTGTATTTTTTGTTTCCAAAAGTGTATTAAGTTATTCCTGAGGTAGATAATGGTTTGTTCTAAATGTCAAAGAACAATACAATTTTTATCAGTGGGTTAGAGTTTTTATCATAATAATAGCAAATGCTCGCATTGAAAATAAAATAATCTTACAATAAAAAAAATTCACTGTCCAACAACCTCAATGAAAAATCCCATTTTAATTATTTACTTTAGGTCACAGATTACTTGGATATCATCAAACAGCCAATGGATTTAGAGACTATGATGACTAAAGTCGATATGCACAAATATAACTGCGCTAAGGAATTTTTGGACGATGTCGACTTAATATGTGCCAACGCTTTGGAGTATAACCCGGATAGGTATGAGAGTTACTAGTTTTTATTGTGTTTTAAGGGAAGGAAATGTCATTCAACATGAGTTATTATAACGAGCAATTTTAATTTAACCTCGAAGATTGTTTTACATATACATATCATAATTTTAACCAAATCGGTGATTTTACGTTATATTCTGTCATTCATCCATCATCTTTTATTTTATTTCTTTTCACATTTTTACTCAAATATGAATTATATTCCTTTTTTTTTAATTTATAATAATATCCATTTATTCAGTGCGCGTATACTGTGTGGCGACGTGCTAATTGATGGCGATTTTTCGATAGTACTTAGTACATTGTGTCACATACATACATGTTTGTCCAGTGGCTAGAATGTTCGACTACAAAGCCTGAGCCTTGAGGTCCTGGGTTCAAATCCTGGTATGGCCATACCAATATCGATTTATTTGGTTTTTGGTCAAGTATCGTGAAGTAAGACTTAGCGTTGTTATAAAGTAGCGAGGTGTTTTGTAAAACATATTGCAGACTTTTAGGGTGAAAGATCCCTTTCATTCATTTCATTCTCTTAAGAGAACATCGAGAGACGAGCGAGAGCGTCTCTCTCTCACACGTGCTTTGCACTATAATATCTCTGACGCAGATGGCTAGTCCGAGTCAGAATCGCCATTTCTGGCGTCTATCCAGCATAACGGATATTGTCGGTCAGGGGAAAAATATTTACAGTATGGTATTATAATTTTACAAGAAACGAAAAGCAAACATGAAAATTTCAGTCGCAACTGCTTTTTCTGTATCAATATTCCACTAGCATGATACAAATTACTTCTAGGTCGAGGATATGGGCGGTGAAAAATATTTTTTACTTCTGACGAAATTCCAATACATTATAATTTATAATACTCTCACACAATAGAGAAGTTGCATTATTTTTTTTGGCCACAAATTTATATACAAATGAAAGAATAATACAATTAAAATAAATTAAAATATATTTTTTTTGTTGTTAAAAATTCAATTTTTTAGTAATTATTAATAATAAATTGTTAAATTTTTGAACGAAATAAAACGACTTGTGATTGGTTGTGACGTCATTATATCCGTTGAGCCTGTGAGCCAATCGCGATCAATGATCATATACTTTTGTATTTACTATGTTCGGATCACCATGTGTCGTGTCAAAATAGTCAAACGTCAATTAAATAATTTCAAAACAAATATAACCTGTATTATGCAATGTCAATTTTTAGATGTTGACAACGTAAACATGCGTTTTTTCATTTGGCCATGCGGAGGCATTTCTAAAGCGATATAATGACGTCACTGGCGTTTGAATTTACATTAAAAAAAACACTTTTATTTGTATAATTACATGAAAAATCAATTGCTAAAAAAGTCTTAGCAATTTTCAGTAAGCTTTAAAAAATATATTATAAAACATGCAACTTCTCTATTAATAATTTTTTTTAATTAATTCTTCATTTAATGTAATTAGTTCGTCGCCACATTGTATAATCTAATTCAAACACCAAACAACTATCGTAAAAATAGAAAAAATATTAAAAATTATAATATTATATAATAAGTAATAAACTAAATTAACACATGCAACACAATCCTGTCATCTGCTTCACTACACTTCTTTTCCACCATTTTTGTGTAAATATTAACATTTCTGTCACGTTTTTTTCCATATTTCCTGGTGCTTTTCAAAGGGCTAGAGGTATGTGTAGGTATGAACAAATCACAATTTTTAAGTAGTGTTGCGTAAATTATATAAACTAAATATATTATGTACTGAATTTACATCCTCTAACCTTTTGTAAATTATAGTACATATTTAGTGAACAATTTGTAGCTATTTTTGCATGCAATTATAATTTTCTCATTTTAGTTGTAGATATTTATGACCTTTCATATTTTTGTTTTTATCATTAAACATTTAAATTATTTGTATGATTAAAGTATACAATAAGATTTTAGGTTTTTTTTTTAAATAAATATACTTATATAGCTTACTTAAAGTATTGAATTGACGCAATATGATGTAAGGCTCATGTACATAATATGCCATAAATTTAAGCTTTTTTAGTACTTTTTTACTTGGACTTGGCTACGGTTAACTTATATTTTTAGTGGAGAACTAAGAAATATATAAGAATAACAATATTTGCTCCACTGGCACGCTTGGAAGTCAGTCATTAACAAGAAAATTGAATAAAATAAAAATATTTAAAATATCGGTTATATTTAATAATTTACATTTATTATCCCATTTATATTTTTTGAATACTTACAAAGTTATATAAAATGCTTAGCTAAGTCCAATATTATTTACGAGTAGTCACATATACATATATCAGCGCAAAATGGCTTAACTTTCCTTTTAAAAAATACAAATATTATTATATAAATAAAACGCTATATTCACAATAAAAAAAAACAAACTCATACGTTACGCCATTTGCACTGATGTTCATAGCCTAAAAGAGTTACATTAAATTAAAAAAAAATCTTCCACCCATTGACAGAACGTCATCAGACAAGCAGATCCGTCACGAGGCGTGCTCGCTGCGCGACCACGCGCACGCGCTCATCGACGTGGAAATGGATAGCGACTTCGAGCTCGAGTGCCAGGACATCGCGCGTCGCCGCCAAGAGGATGGCGCAGCGGATAACGACCTACCAGACTTTATATACACGGCGTCTAATTTACGTTAGTATTTGTTATATAATACTAGCGACTCGCCCTCGTTCCTCTCGGGTTCTTCTCTAGTTACGTTTTAACTTTTAGTTTAGTTTTATTAGACATGAGATATTTTCCCGCAGTAAAATGTATCTTAAATGTTGACTCGGATGACCAGCTATCATCATATCAAATTTCATCAAAATCTGTCCAGTGGTTTTCTTGTGATGTGCTCTCAGACAGACAGACAAAATGTCTAAAAACTATAGATTCAGTCTCTGTATCAAAAATAATGACTATTTCAATAAGATTATCCAAAAAAATATTTTATGTACAGGTTTGACTTAGAATTTTATTATATATATACAGACTAGTTACTTGCCCTATGTGTAACAGAAGTCTATATGTTACTCCAGCTCATATTATCTGTGAATTAAATTACATGCATTATCCATCCATTTCAAGAAGCAATATATACACATACATACACATACAAACTTTCACATTAATAATATAATAGTACTCCAAATTCATTTTTTTAATTCCGACCCGATTTGAACTGATTATTTATTATTTTTTGACGGTATAATTTATGATTAAACGTATTTGCGTGAAAGAATCAGAATATAATAATATATCTTTTTTTTCATTAACGTACCTAAGGGATTCTGTTATGCCACGCTACATCTATAAATAGAGCTGAGCTACACTAAAAGAAATCAAAATAATTTACTGGAAAATGTAGCATGTAATAATATTGTTTCTGTTACAGCTGAAGGTTTCGATGGATCAGTAAATGATAAAACTGTACGAACGCCACAGAACGGTGAGAAGAGTGAGACGCATTCAGCAAAACGCAAACGTAGAAGAATTAACGCGTGGTCCAAAGGCTTGGTTGTGAAGCGGCAGAAAACATCGCAAAAGGTATAAAATAAATTATTTGAATATTTAATTGATTGAAATAGAATGTGGTATGGTACTCCATTTGAGTGTGAGGTTTTTGTGCAAACAAACAATATTTTTGCCAAATGTTTATAAGCCGATTCTAATGATTGTTTTTTAATGCATATTGCAATTGTGATATATAATGTTAAATTTTAAGGATAATTATGGTTTAAATTTTAAACAACAATCATGGTCACGGGAGAGACATCCACGTTACAGCAGGTACATTCTCTCCTGTGACCATGATTGCAGCTGTATTAAGCATTGGAAACGTCGGGAACCAAAGATCAAAGTAAATCTGCGAAATAATCCGAAAAGATAGTTTTATTTAATAATTTTAATTAAAAGTATTTTTCTAAGTAAATATTAATTTGTTAATTTATATTGCCTTTCAGAATTACAAAGATGCAAGTATGGCGATCACAGACGAAGAGTCCAAAGAGAACAAGCCGATAACATCCACCCCCCTGCACAACGGCTCGTGCAGCTCCTCCGGCTCCGACGACGACGCGCCTCTAAGAAGGCCCGCGAATGACGACTCGCTAATCGATTTCAATTCGCATTCGCAAATTAATCATGTTATTGAAAGGTTTGTTTATTTTAATTATTGATCTTATACTAATTTTTTGACGTTTGGAAAAAATTATGAGAGTAAAATTTTTACGATGTGCGTCCACACCGACAGCCACAATGCGACATGATGAAGTTAGCTGCATTCCTTTTATAAACATGGATTTGTAACACGGGATGAAATCTAGATATTTTTGTTCTGTTACGCCAAAGAAGTATAACTTCTTACGTGCATAAGTACACACACGTTTTTTTTTATTATTATATAATAATCGAACTCTTAGTTGCATGGATTTTTTTAATGATTTACTAACTATGAACGTGAAGCTAAACAATAATGTTTAAAAATAGTATAAACTTATTAATAGAATATTCATAAGTAAAGTTTTAATAAACAGTTAATGGATTTTTAATCCCCGACGCAAAAACGACGGGGTGTTTAAAGTAAGTAATAAGTTTGACGTGTCTGTGTGTGATTTTTGTTTTGTTTTTTTTTTTTGTGTGAAAGGTTAATTAGTCAGGAGGTTCTTAGCTATGTTTGATGAAAAACGGTCCAACGTGGTCGCTTTTTTAAATTTATATTGTAATTTTTAAAAAAATCTTTTATAACTATTATATAAGATTTATTATATAAGAGACATAACAGAAGCTCTGTTGTATTGGTAGCTATTCGATTTGATACATTTTCACAAAAGTAAATGGTATGCCATAAAATAAATTTATTACTGGCATTTTCAAGACTTAATACTTTTCGTTTGCAACATAATATGTATATATAATAATATAATATATTATGTACTAAATATTATAAATGTGAAAGTTTGTGAGTTTGTATGGATGTTTGTTACTCTTTCACGGCTTAACGGATCTGGATGAAATTTGGCACAGAGATAAATTATAGTATGGAATAACACATAGGCTACTTTTTATCCCGGAAAAATATACGGTTCCCGAGAGAAAGTTTTTTTTTGTCTTTAGTACCTATTTTATAATTTATTATTACGTTGTTGTTTTTTAGCCCCGCTAAGTCTACGGATAAGTCACCAACAAAACCATTACCAAAGAAAAGAAATTCCGGTCACGAGGCATCGACTGGAGGTATGTTTATTGAAAACTTCTTTTAATAGGGTCTTTTGCTTAGCAATAATAATAATGTCCTTCTGACTGTTTTTGGCCACGGCGGCCATCTCATTAAGATTAGCCAGCGTAAGAGATATTATAGCGTGTAGTATGCGCAGAAACGTAAGAACGCTCTATTCCTGTCACTCTCATACTCTGGAGGGACGACTACTTGTCACGACCGGTGAGAGTTAAGACACCGGATCGACGCGACACGTGCTCTCCGAGGCACGGGGGTCAAACACCGCCAACTTCCCGTGTCCGGACTGTTACTGAGACTTTCTTAATAGAAAGACTCGGTACCTTAACTTAGCCCGACCCGGAACTCAAACCCAGGATTAGAACTCCGTTTATACTTGTCACTACACCATCGAGGCAAGTGTTAGCGTTACTGGAATATCAATTACTACTATGATAGTTCATAATAGGGAATACGCGTGATTTAAAAAAATATATATACAATAGCTAACATCTTTATATAATGTAAAAAATATTCAGCTCCAAAAAACGCAAATTTAGTTTAAAAAAATATTGTAAAAAAAGTATCATACCGATACGGATACTTTAAACACCCGCTATTTCGTGCGCTTGGCGTGACGTCACAGTATGATATTACACAGAAAAATGACGACTCAATTTGTAGCGACGAAATCGCTAGTCGCTCTGTTATGATAATACTTTGACGTCATATTCGGTCTGACGAATGGTGTTCGTTTCAACTACCTTGAATTTCTCACCTATATTTGCACTTTTTAATAATTATTTTTTTAATCAAAAAGAAATTACATAAAAAAATATTGATATAAGATTCACCTTAATTTGAATCACACGCATATTCCCTATGGCATCTCGTTGATCATTACTTTTTTACTAGTTAATTCAGTGCTTTTGAAATAGTAAAAAAGTATGTAATAAAATGGCGTTGATGTGTTGTTGTGTTGCTGTCTAATTGTATCTTTGATTTTATACTAAGAATGTCTAATAGTTATTTATAAATTACTAGTTTCGTGAAAAAAACAACAAACACGCAATTATTCACACTCTCTTACTTACGATACCGTGTATTATATTCAAACGTCCAAATTTCAAAATGTCTAACAATGTCCACTCTGTATTCCAGATGACGAGAAAGTACTGATAAACAAGACTGAGTTAGATAACATACTGTATAAGAACGCTAAAGCCCTGCGCGGCATCGGGCTGCACGCGCTGCTGGAGCTGTACGCGCAGCTGGCGGCGCTGGTGCGGCAGCTGGCGCCGCGCCGCGACCGCACGCGCCTGCCGCACGACATGCAGGCGCTCGTGGCGCGGTATCTGCATCACCGCAGGAGATAATTGCTCACGTCCACGTCGCTGACGGATTGCGAAATTAGCAATTTTACATAACGGCTAGCCGTTTTACGAAGCACCTAGCTGTTATGTAAAACAGCTATGCGATGTTTAGCGTTTTTTTATAATTACTGAACTTTAATACGCAGAATTGAATGGACGTTTTGCATTTATCAGCAGCGGGTCAGAGATTAGAGGTTATGTAAAACAGCGTGTAATGAAACGTCGGATTGTAAATTTTAGTAATTTTTGATTTCCGATTACATGACAGATCCGACTTAAGTGAAGGCTAAGGCGAAAGCGAAGTGTAGCGTAGCTGAATATTGTTCTACATAACGGAGCTATTTTGTAAAATTACTAACGATTTTCTAAAACAACTGATTTGGTAATCCATTTGCAGCATCTATATAGGAATGAGCTGTACCGTGACTAGACAGCGCTTGAGAATTGAGGATGAACACAACTGTTCAACGATAGATACACTACTACAATAGTATAGAAGTTGGTATAGTGGATGAGTTTGATTTTAGCAGAAATATTGATTCATTAATTCAATTCGATCAATTTTCCGAATGAGTTTTTAGTACAGAATTATTGAGCTTTAATTTAACATTTTATATTAATAAAGCCGAATAAATTTATTTTATCTATATATGTAAATACATCTTTGTCTTTGAAATAGAAGAAAAAACTCTTTAATGTATAGTACAAGTGTTAGTAGTTTGACCAAATAAGCACTATGGCGACGTATAGTAGACTAGCACTGCCCGCGGCTCCGCCCGCGTTCAGATGACCATAAACCAAATTCTTAGGTTTTACATATTAGTACACTCTTACAATGCAGTTTTTGTATTTTTTCTCCGAAATAAGATATTTTCCCACAGTAAAAAGTATCCTATATGTTGACCCGGATGACCAGCTATTACCATACCAAATTTCATCAAAATCCCTCCAGTGATTTTTCCGTGATGCGGTAACAGACAGACAGACATACAAAAACTCTAAAAATTATAGATTCGGCCTCTGTATCGATAATAAAGTCTATTTCAATAAGATTTTCCAAAAAATATTTAATGTACAGAGTCGGCTTAGTTACCATTTTATTATATGTATAGAAGTTATTCGCTTGTATGAAGCTTTGTCTCTATAGAGATACTCACTCATGAGGTGGCATCGGAAACACAAGTGCACATGGGATCGATACTACATAGTACCCATATATCCATATATCGGTTATAAAAGTAGATTACAATATATTTATTTATTAATCTTCTTCGTCAGCATTTATTTTGCAAATAGCAGTTTTGATATAACTAGATAAATTCGCTAACTTTGAATAAATTAAATCCTTCTGCGTGTGATGTCCACCTAAAGTGCGGTACAGCTCTAATGGTCAGTCTAGAACATACTGTGTAATAACTAAGTATTTATACTATCGCAGGAAATAGTTATACTACTGCTCTTACATTGGCTGTTAACTTGTTGACTTTCTACAATCTATATCGCTAAAGAAATAGATTTGGGGAAATGATGTAACTAATAGCAATATGGGCAGGACATGCATGCCATTTCAATTATTTTGAAGTAAAACTTCTATAGGCGTGACCGAGAGATAAGCCTAATACATTGGAAAAATGTGTGTCGCGGAAGTGAGAGTCAAATTTATTAATAATTAAAAAAATATATTATATTTATATTTTTATAATAAGAATTATTAATAAAAATATATTATTTATTATTAATAATTTTATAATAATTACTACTTATAAAAATGAATATTTTTTACTAGTAATTTTATAAAAAATATTAATTTTATGTTTTGATTTCTTTTAATTTATGTAGCGCCAAAGAAGTTTTACTTCAACCGCGTGTAAAGGTTCCATGCACTCATTTTTTTTCAGTTTTTTGTAAACGATACCGATAGAAGAAAGTCAACTTTTCCAACAGCTAAATTTGATAACCTATCATTAGGTCGTTCGACTCATTAGAGATAGAAATATTACAAAAGCTATCTATCATAGATCTGTAAAATATTTTTCTCTAATAGGGAAACCAGTTTAACGGCTGTTGGTTTTACGGCCGTCAGACGATTTGAATTTTTACAATCAATGCTGTTAATAGAAAATTAAAATATATGGAAATGGCATAATCTCATCACGTGATTTAACGTTTGATCGTTATTCCGTACATTAGTAGTTTTTGTTAGCGATATCGTTTGTAGAATATCGTCATGTCTATGTCGATTTATTGATTTATGAGGGAATGGTACTGATGTATGCTTATGTTCAATAAATTTAAGAGATCGTGGAAGTTTTTTTATTATGTAGATATGTTATGTGTAACAGTTGTCCTAGAACCTAAGTGCTATATCTATGGAATGATTTGGGTTTTGGCAACTGCTGTGTACAGTTAATATCTTTAATATAATATATTTAATATCTGAAGCACTGCCATCTTAGTTTAATTTATTTGAATATAACATACATGCAGTAAAATTAATTGTTATGCTGAAATATGGCTATATATAGTGTAGACTTTAGGATCGGTCCGTTTGTATTGAGTGAGAGAGACATTGTGCTATGTGAGTAAATGGAAGCCTTCGTGTCAAAAATATGTAAACTATCTAGGGATGTGCTTTGATTGAAGAAGTATAATAATTTTATTTAATCTATGGCATGATAGTGGTAGATAGCGCTCAATAAAAAGTTTTGTTTGTTTTATACTTCTTCAGTCAATGCTGTTTAAAAAAAAAACATTAAATAAAATAGTCAAGTAAGTCTCGACAATAGTACTGAAATTATATTCCTAAATCGTGAATTTATTGTCTGTGTCATTCTGTTTGATGGAATTATAACGTGGACTGTGCGTTAAGTAAAATTTATACATATCGACGTCTCAGTGCTTGTTTGACCAATTTACCGAACGCGTTTTTAATAAAGCATTATTGACTTAAATGTTAGTTCTATAGATGTAAAATACAACATTTATTTGAAAAAAAAAACAACAAAATATGCATTTTATCCATATTATATTGTATATACATCTTAGAAATAAAGTTTTGTTCTTAAAATAGAACAAAAAAGTCTATTGTAAAATACAAAAAGGATTGGTCGTTTGAACAAATACGCACTAAGTCGATGATATGTCACATTACAAAATAATGTCAATATAGATAAAGTTTTAAAGGCAAAATGCTATTAATTGAATTAATTATTTTAGAATAAGGCAATCTCTTCACAACGCTTTCAAAAGATATGTTTATTTGTTTATTTTTATATACAAATCGCACAGTCCACGCTATATATCTATGTTTACGTATTAATAGATTAGGATTTTTAACTTTTCCAAAGCCGTCCAAAGTTTTTATTAAGCAAAAGACCAGTATCATATTCGTAGTAAAAAAAAGATTTTGACAGAAGGCTGTCTGGAAACAGACTAAATACATTCCATTTGTATGGAAAGTGGAATTTTATGCAGCGAAGTGTTAACGTTGTTGTATGTTATATATAAGATATGAGAAATAGTTGATTTCCTTTTGTTTTGTTTACCGTTAGTTAAGATTATAACAATTCGATTTTTGAATTTTATTTTTTAAATTCATTACAGAAAATGTTTCCGAATTTTCCATAATAGATTTAATACATTAATAAAATTTATATTTAGTGGTCAGATTACAAAAATAAGACAAAGAGAGCGTGACGAACACATCAATTGACGCCTGAAATGGTGTTCTATATGTATACCAATAATATGATTCCACGATCAGAGCTTTGCTTAATTTCTATTTTTGTTACGCTCTGTCCGGCTTATTTTTTATACTGATATTTAGGCAGAATATACTCATTACCTAAACAGCCAAATTGATTGTCAGACTAGCCCGAGCTAGTGCCCGGTCTGTGATATGTGTATGGTGTACATAAATAACGTTTCATATATCATAATTATTCGCTTATTTATTTTCATATTGTCATTAAACGGTGTGGACATTTAGGGGTTGGGTGGAACAAGTAATTAACTGCTAGCTTTTAAATTGGGTAATAACACTTTGGATGGTTTTCTTTAAATGTCTTAATATTATTGGCAACTTTAGTTTATAAGGATTTGGAAGTTTTGGAATATCTAGTAATATTGCACCTTAGTTTTAAAACTTTATATTACTAATGAAATTGTTGTTATTCATATATAATGAGTTATTTATATAGGCAGTGGTAGCACAGTAGTAACGCGCTCGCTTGGAAAACTAAGCGATGCGGGTTCAAGTTCCGGGTCTCGTAACTATGATATTTTCATGTGCGATTCCCCCTCGTATTGAAGGGAGGCCCACCCCCAGCAGTGGGACGTTGAAAAAGGGCTGAATACGAGTTAATTTATGTTGTTCAAAATACAAATAATGTAATGGTTACATAATGTCGTTAGGCGCGGAATAGAATCTCAATTATTTCATTGATCAATATTATTTTAAGTGTACAAATTATAAATAATCGTTTTCGCACAAAATATTTTGTCCAAAGTGTGTTTTGCCTTTATTTATTTAAATTATCTTCTAAAATAACGATGTAATTCTAAAAATCGTTTTGAACATGAAGGGAGTATTATAAAAACTGTTATTTTAATATACCTATTGACTTAGCCATTATATTAATGAAAATTATATCGTAAATATTAAGCGTAATGTAAAATTAACCTTTTTGCACGTTGAATTATTTAAAATTAATTCCATTTTTGAAAATACCTGTATCTGCCTCAATTTGTATAATAATTAACATTGGTATATCAATAATTATATCCCTAGTTTAGTGTTAATATCGTAGTAAACGAATCGTAGAAACAATGGCGTACGGTTGTGAAATTATATGACTCTAAGCAATTTGGCTTTTTAGGTTATAACGAATAAAAAATAACAGTGTTGTATAGAATCTGGTACTGATATATTATTTAATTAACTTAATCAAACAATATAAATTAAAATATAATAGTCGTTTTTTATAATGGAGAAGTTTCAT